CTGCGAGTGTGTTGTGCAATCCAAGCGTTTCATTCAGCAAGGCGCAAGTGACGCAATGAATTTCTCCATGTGAACGTAGCCCGCGACATTTTGAGAAGTCCTGTCTGACGAGATTTACTCTGTCCTGGTCGAGAACGAGATAATTGGCGTTATATTTAATCACGCGTAATATTATCTGAAATGAAAGACGAGATACTTGAAACTTTTGAAGAGTTCAGTTTACCAAACTGGGTCTATACCAGACATAGGCAAACTACGGCCCGCGGGCCAAACCCGGCTTGCTGGGTAGTTCAATCTAGCCCTCCTGATGCTGCCAAACTAAAACCAAATTTTGATGTTTTATCGAAAAAATAGCTCAAGGAAGTTGTACAGATTGGGATTAGATTTACCTTTGGCACGAGGCTCATTGTTTTCCAGTTTTGCTTTTGTAACAGTGTAAACATTGTTCATAAAATGTAACTTTTACGTCACACTTACATGGCCCGCCAGTCTAGATGGGCCCTTGGTCCAAAAACCGTGTCCACCCCTGGTCTATACCATATGATGCTATTAAACTTCTGTCGCTTGAAGCGAATAGGTGTCGTAGCATCTGTTTTTCATCCGTGTTTGTGGCTCATTTTAAAATAACTACGTCACTGCGGTAGAATTGTTCGAATTTCCAATGCAGCTGATACATTGCTTTCACTCCTATTTGACATTTGTAAATGTTCTAAGTAATTACATGGCGCGATCACACTTGAATGCTGCAAAATGGTGTTGTTTGTATCACAGCAATTTCAAAATAATTTCGCTATTACATACCTTTGCTCCTATTTCACATTTTGTAAATTAGATGGCGTGATCACACTTGAATGCTGTAAAATGCATATCTGGTTCTGTTGTTGTTTGTATAACAGATGTAAGTCTTAAAACAATTTTCCAAGAAACAAATTCAATATCTTGAAATAATTTTGAAGAAACATATGAGCGTTGGTGGACGAGTTCATGACACACAAGTAGTCTCAGGAGATTAAATCAACTAAACTCACTAAAGTATTAATATATTCGCCTGAACGGTAATATTACGGTAGATTTCAAGAGCGGACTTGAGTTAATGAAATTATGTATATTATGCAAATACCTGACTATATGATATACAAATAATCACGTGCAATAGTCTTCCAAAGCGGCGTAGGTTAAGAACCCACCGCGCTGGTGCATTCACGTCTTCTGCCACCGATCCTTTGTTAACCTATATCACCTTGAAATGCTATGTGTAAAGGAATTCCTCGTCGCCACATGTCGGCACACCTAACGGTAGAACCTTGAACCTAGCGGTTCCCAATGTGGGCGAAAACGCCCCCTTGTAGACGTTTTCAATAACTGGAGGGGCGCTGATGGCAATTTGGGCACTTGGGGGGGGGGCTGGCTGGCAAACTGAACGATTGGGGGGGGGGGGTGCGCTGACAACATTTCAGGCAATCACAAGAAGTGTGGTATTATCTGTCATTTTAACTCCTGAACTAGTTAGCTTGTGATTTCGTAGTTTGAAATTTCTCGCTTAACGTGTTTCGCACTCATACTAGTATAGCGCGTGGCATACGCTTCCTTAACTATGCCCCCCTATGATGTCAAGCACGTTTCTTTGTTCTGTTTTGAATTACAGCTTCATTTTCTATCGAATTCGAAGGTGCTTAAAAGCGGTAGTTTGGGTACAACACCCCTATTTTATAATTTTGCTATTGTTGAAAGCAACACGTGAGAGCTGGATCATCTGATTGGAATGACGTACGCCAGATCGGACTATCTCCTCGTTGCGACTTAACTGGTTCATTTTTCCTTCTTGGGTCATTGAATAACGAGGCTACATAAATAATACACAAGGCCTTCCCTTGGAGGTGCTGTGAGTAAACATTTTGTTGTTATTTACATGACCTAACATCAGAAAGTCCGCTTCAACAGAAACTAAGTGAGTGATAGACAATTTTGCGAAACGAGTGCCAATCTGTCTCTAACGCCAAGGAGGTAATTTGCAACATATCCTAGACTTAAAGAGAACATAACTTTTGTACAAAATGTCTTGGATTCCTGAAATTTCTGTGTATAACCAATCATACAAAAACAGAAGTTGAAGCGAAAATAAATTTAAATAGTTTTTTTTCGTGGAAGTAATTAAGAAATTTTTGATTTTCTATTTTTGGGTAACCTTGAATCAAATAGAAATATCCCGCGTGTAGGATCGGGTTAAAAGTTTTTCATCGCGTTTGTGAGCTCATATTTGGGGTGGGGGAGCGTTTAGTAGTCAAAAAAATTGACCAAGGGGGCCACTGCCAAAAATAGAAACAACCGGTTGACTAGGACCAAATATATTATGAATGTTAACTAAAGAAGCTGTGGTTCCCAAACTGTGGGTCGTGTGAAGATTTTCCGGGGTCGCAACACAAGTGACTAGAATTCGAACGTTGGAAAGTGAAATGTGTTCTGGTCGGCAGGTACCGTAGAAGCAATAACTCGACCATTTAATGTCCAAACGGCGCCAAAATTACTCGGTAAAACATTTATGTGGTACTTAACCTTTCCAGCTGGTCGGCAGGTACCGGTATTAGAAAATGCAATTGAGTGACAGTGTTACGAGCGCCAATAATATTTTCCTTTCATAGCTGTTTTGATCATGTTACATCCAAATGAGTAGTTGACTATAGTCCTTATCTTCTCATTTACGATGAACTAGACTAAAGAGCAGGCTAAGCCAGTACTCCCACCAGGTGGTACCTAAACCGGATTTTTTGCCTGTCTACGAGAAGTTATTACTTATCAATCTTGATCTGTAAGTATGTTGATAGGTATTTGTGTGTTTGTCTGTTAGACACTTTCGTATGTTACTCGATATCTCACGAAAGCTCACTCGAAATCTCACGAAAGTTGAATCTCTTCCAAATTTTGTATGTGCATTCATCATATCTCGGACCAAAAGCATATTGATTTTGGATCAATTATGTCTTATAATTAGCAAGTTATCAATTAATTAGTGACGGGACACACGGTGTCACTATGGAGTAAGAGCACATGAATCGAACGATAAGTCTTCGTTCTCCGACCGATATTCTCGTATTGGTTTGTTAATTTGTACCAGTGTAACTGCATAGTTATCGAATATACAAAGCAAAGTTGCTCTATTTGGCGATTGCTTACTAATTGAGTGTTTGACAAGTACGGTATTGGTTGTCAGGCGGTGTCTTTGCCGAGTAATCACACTTTAGTTTTCGATCAGTTGCGAAAGCGCTTTGTTGGTTTGCGCACGTGTCCAAAATCTACGAGTAGGCTACGTGTTTTTGTCCACATCGCCTTCACACAAAAGTGAACATTATCGTATTGCAATATTACGTATTCAGACGTTTCATACATATTTTCGAAGCGCTCCGAGCAGTCAAACACAAAACCTCAACAAGCTTTAAACAACTAACGTAACGAAAGACAAGATACCTCAGACGTTTTAGAGTTCATTACCATCCATGGGTCTCCATGTGATGCCATTGAACTTTGCCGTGAGTGGCGCTTGATGCAAATATGGCTGGGGGCAGCTTGATCACACTTGAATGTTGTGAAACGCATGCCTGGTCTTGTAGTTGTTTGTATAACAGCTGTTAAACTCGGGGTAATTGTTAATGAACGAATTCAATACGAGCTTAGTAAGATGAGTTCATGACCCACAGACGATCTCAGGGGATTTTGGTAAACCAAACTACTAATATATATTCGTGTGAACGAAGAATCGAGTTAATAAAACGTAGTTGGTCAGTGAAATTATTTTAAACATTGATGTGTGCGGAAATTCTATTTTTTAAGATCTACATCCCAAGTCAAAATGATACGGTTATGTGGAGGGAAAATATATACATATGGATCGCCGGATGAGAACAGAACAGGCCTAAGTCACAATTTTGAGTTTGGAGAAAAGCACAAAAAACAATTTTGAACTTCGTTATTTTTGAATTTCTAGATATTCACACTTAGTAAAGACCTGAGCTCTGGTTATTTCAATGTGGATGAGAATATCTTTGTAATCAATTTATTTTGGCACTTCCTTCCTGTTTTTTTACTCCCCAAAAAGTACTTTCTGCCCATTCTGTTTTCAACAGCTTACGAAATTCTTTGTATTGGATACAAGGAGGTGACCTAGGCCTAAGTTGCACTGAACGAACTCTTAAAGATGTGGGTTTCAGACATTTTATTTCTGATGTCTATGCCCATCATATTGGAACGTAGGCCCATTCTGTTTTTAACTTCTACAAAATATTATGGTTCTAAGTCCAGCTAAAATTTTTATTATTGAGAAATTCAAGATTTCAAAACCACCATCTTGTAGACTAGAGCATGGCTCAACACCCCAAAACATTGAAAAAGTAAATTTCCCAAAAATGTGACTTAAGCCTCTTCTGTTCTCATCCGGCGATATATATATATATTTTTGTTAAACATGGTACAGTATTCGCAATGTTGCAATATTTGAAAATGAAGAAATCTGGAGTCTGGATTCAGGCATGTTAGAAATTAAGATGATTACAAATCAGTTCATTTTTTTTTTATTTCAAAAGAAGCTTCGATGGTGTTTTAGGGTAAAAGGAAAAAATCGATAGTAGATAAATTCGAGTCACTGTAGTTTTTATATATATTGAATGAAAGCTAAAGCGTTGGACCTATCTATGTTGTTTTATTATCTCGCTTCCGAATGCAATGCCGCCGTCTCATCCAGACTAATAAATTTTGTAGGCTTTGTCGAACTGGAAAGATTGCGGTCGATTTAAATAATAATATCTATCTTCATATATCAGTGGATCCTTTAGTTTAGAGTCCCGTGCAGAGGCGCAAAGTGTTTTATAAAAAAACATTGGTGGAAGTAAAGTGAACTCTAACCTCACAACACACTGTTTATATATCTTCAGACTAAGTTTGCAGTTACGATTGAACACTATAAAGTAATTCAACGATTATGACGTAGATATTTCTATTATCACAGGTTTCTCTCGTTTTAGTTAAATAACTATGACATCACAAATAGTAACATTGGGGTTATTACTCTCACTTTGCATCGTCGCGGGTGGGACTGGACGACAGAGGATTTGTTTCGAGCTCGAAAACGTGGATGCGGAAAACCAATATAATGAAAATAGGTATGTTAGGAATTTAAATATACATAAAGTCATACATACATATTCATAAAGTCAGTTCTTAATATATCTTAACCAGGTTTGTTGTTTATTAATCAGTAATTGTTAAAGTATTTTTACTTCATTTAACATATCTGTGAGGGCCAAAACAGAATATGGTGTCGATAAATTCCCTTTCCAATTTTTAAAAAATTTCGAGATTTCATGAACACCCTATAGTTCCAGAAAAATAATGCAAACTGAAAAATAAAGAATAAAATATTATTATATTCAAAATAATATGAATCAGATATGGTAACATGATATTAAGAACAATAACATAAGTGTGTAGGAGGAATGGCGGAATGATCTAACTAAACAGTGCTGGGGAAACTCGAGCCATATAACGAATTTATACGTAGTGGCAAAACCGGTGGACAATTCGTATCGACTTGCGTCTCCCGTGGGAATACTCGTGAAAAGAGAGAATTGACTTTAAATTGATATGATGTAATATTGTCTGAAAAACAAAAATCCTTTAGACTTTTCTGATTGCAGTAAACAAAATTCGCTCCCTACCTTGTGATGCCCATGACCTTTGCCGCGGTTTCCGATTGACCCCAAAACTCTCGGAAACGGCTGTTTTGTGGCAATGTTTGTGGCCTATTTCATATATGTATTCAATTATTAATCCGTGAAACTTAGCCCAGTGATTAACTTGATTTCGGACGCAGCTTGACCTGCGACTCTAGTTTTAAGGACACCTAACCAACAACACCAAAATTAAATAATCCCGTTCATTCCATACTTAGTCGGGGTCAGTATTGAACAAAGTTGTGAAAACACATAAAAAAAGCAGATTTCGCCTAAAAGTGTTTGTTTTGTGGTAAGTTTGTATCCATAAATATTTTTCTAATATTCATTGCGAGGCTCCGATGATAATTATATCATTTCGCGGTCATCCTGCGCATCCCGGACAAAGGAATGAATAGATACAATTATTTCATATTAATTTTTGCTTTCATTTTATTATGCTTTTCCTTAATGGCTAATTAATACCATTTGATTGATTTACTTATGTTTCCAGAGGTGAAGTGCAGACCATTCCGGGCAAGAAAGGCCCCAAAGGAGATTCAGGCCCACCTGGACCCAAAGGATCACAAGGGGACGTTAATTATGATACACTAGAAGCCCTGATTAATCAAAAAGTCAATAAAGGTAAATACCGCAATGATATTTCATTGGATCTCCGCTATTGGAGACCCTTATTATCGGTCGTTATGTCTGTGTGTCCAAGCTCTAACTAGGATCTTAACGGCAATCTAGATGCAATTTCACACCTGGGCTATCTTGTCACCCATAATGTGTGTTTCATAAGTCCGGATTGAAGTTTTGTTTCCATGGCAACAATGAAAAAAAAGTGCGCTGATTGTTGTGAAATTTTCAATATTTTTTTACAATGTATCGCTGTTTTCTCGTCAACCAAGTCGAAAATTGAAATTCCAAGAACGTTACCTTCCGCAGAGAAAAATATTCTTCCTTCGATACTCCATAAACTGGGCAAGCCTTAGTAATTTTGGTGAGCATGATTTTAATTTTCAGCTACAATTCACGCAAGAATGTCTACGAAACTCGCAGCGCCTAAATGAACTTGCAGTTTTGGTAACCCGTTCACTTGATCACGCTGCCGTTATAGATCTGAGTTTCTGAGGATGGCAACGAGTTGCTCAAGTGCGGGGCTCAACTATTAGCCGAGATCCTGGGCGCCTACCGGCTTGTTTATACATTTGCCACAAAATATTTGGAACACCACACTGTATAATAAAAATTGGAAATGGAGTTTTATGTAATTACATTTTAGTTATTGGACACGTTTAGTGGACATAACGATCGTTTTGTTGTTATGTTGTTCTTTGACACTTTTTGGACACCTAGTGGAAATATTAAAAAACCGCTTTTCTCTTTGATCACTGAACCACTTGCTTTGAAATTTTTAGTGGTTAAAGATAGAATTTTTCTCCAGAAGGCTATTACTTTTATTTTTTTTAAATATTTCTGTTATCTCTGTGAGATTTGTTTTTGTTTGCCATGACGTCACCGAACGTTCTGCGGACATCGGACGCCATGTACTGCTTCGCTTGGTGTGAATATATTTGTAGACTGTGATCTGACGGTACGGTAAACCGTATACTGTACTGCGAACAGACGTGTCCATATATTTGGGCGTAGCTCTCTTGTATTTAAGTCTTATGTCGTTCGGGTTTCTAATCTAATGGGATCTGGATTTACTTCATAATTAACTATCATTTGCGTTCAGCAATGGAACAGCTACGAGCAGAAATGAACGAAACCATGAATGAATGGCTAGAAAGTACAACAGCAAAATCAGAAGAACAAACAACCATGATTCCCGCAGTGGTTGCGACTATTCCCCCTGGGTTCGCTGAACGAGGTTTGTAATATAATTTGCGTTTTGATATTGATAATGTAAATAATGATAATTTAATATTGTAGCGTTTTAGGAACCAAAGAAATATTATGGAGTTTAGGAAGGGCCACAGTTAGACGATGAGAGATCCTATAAGTATAAGTTATGCATTTATAGGGCCCCTATATGAAAAAGATGTCATTTGGCCTTGTGGAATCGGTTATGACATCATGAATATGTAACATGTATCATGACGTCATAATTATAATTTAAATTTAAGTGGTCAAGTTTAAATTAAATTTAACAACACTTTAGGAAACTCAAGGGGGAGGTGAAACATTATAATACCAGTAAACCCGACGCAATAATACCCATTGAAAAATAGCTTCAGTCCTGGGCGAATCAGGCTCTAGGTTTTGCAAAATCGTTATTTTGACGATAGACTAGTGAATTTCAAAACAAAAACACCAAATTTATTTTGAAATGTTCGTCTTATTTCCGTTAATTAGAATTTATACCAGAGCAATCCACACGACAAGCACAATGAATCGCCATCGCCGATGACACAAGTAGATACAATTTTTATATGATTTAACAACTTCTTCTTATTTGAATTACAGATATTGTGCGCTATGGCGGAAGAATATTTATACCTTTAGCATCTGTGGAGGTCCGAAAAGCATCAGCAGTCGCCAAATGCCAACAGATAGGTGGGAAACTGGCAAATATATACAGCCAAGTTCATATGGACAAGGTCATAGCATACATACGTAACAACAAGATGAATGGGAAAGGACATAAAGGATTTTGGCTTGGCATGACATACGACCCCATCGTAAGTCCTGTGCGAAGTGTCGGTATTTCGCCAAACTATCGTTTTTTATGAAAATTTTATCTGTGATTGTGAACAATTAGAATCGGGAATGATGAGATATTAGATAAATTGTTACAATCGGCTTTCACTCATACATGAGAAGCGTCGGCTGTTTCTTTCCAGCTCGAAAATTCATTTCTGTGTACATTGGTGATCGCTGGCGTGATTTTAGGTCAAGGGTGTGCAACCCACAGCCCAAATGTGGCTCTCAAGAAAAAATTTTGCGGTCCGCGGAGAAGTGCCAATTTTGAATGTGTGGTCCGCAAAACGAAATTTCAATTGAATTAATTTTGTACGTGTGAGTGATTCCAATCCCTTTGCGTTGCGAAGCGTATACCTGAGTTCAATTCATCTATGCCTACGACCATTTCTTATCAGTGCCTATGACTTTACAATTTCTCAACAGCTAGCTTGTGCCAACAAGCAAGTCATAAGATCAATAACCAACATTTGCGCGCCTGTAACTACTGGACAGCCTATGTTGAATAAAAGTGTGACCCGCGGTTTCACCCTTGTATTTTATCTGGCCCTCCTCTATTAAAGGCTGCACACTCTTGTTGTAGATCAAGGTGGTCCAAACTGCGGGCCCATGTGTCAAGCGTTGGCCATGTGACCGATCCAGCTTTTTTTTATTTGGGTCCGAGGTCCTAACCTATCTTAGACGCACTTGGTTGTTTTTTGACGGTAGCACTAAATCTGCGCACTCTACAAGTAGTAAAGTTTTTCAAATATAACAATTCATCATACAATGAGTGTAGAAAAAGGGTGACCGAGGTAAACTAGAGATAACACGTCTCCTTACCCACAACCACCCTAAACCACAGTGTCTGGTGTGTGTTTCAAGTAATATATGTCACAAAAGAATATAATGTTGAGCGACATTCCAAAACCAAACACGAGAAAAGTTACGAAAAATACCACGATAATCCTCGGCAAGCAAATTTAAAAAGACCAATGGCTTCATACAGTTTCCTTGAAGAAAAAAAAAATGAATAAAACGATAAACCCCCATTTTTAAATATCTTTAAAGTGAATAAACTCCCGATTTTTGATCACTTTCGGGTTTTGTTTTCGACTGCAGCCCGCGAGACCGCCTCAAAAGTTTTTGCGGCCCTTCGATCTCGCAATCTTGGATCACCCTGTATCTAGAATCTAGATGGATCAGGGTTTTAGTTCAGTACCCTATGTGTTAGATGCCAATATGGCATCAAAGAAGCTTTAATTGACGAACTTTTATACAATACTAAATGCTGCTACTAAGAAATATTACCTTCCAGAATGGGATTCTACTTTTCCGCAACGGAACTGTGACATCACTCAGCGGTTTGAAATTTTACACTGGATATCCACAAAATGGACGGCAACATTCAACCCGTACGAACGTGTATGTCATGACTACAGAAAGTTTGGCAAGCGTATATCAATACATTTTCAACCAGGTAGAACAGAGCAGATACGTTTTGTGTGAAATTTGAAACTTGTGGCAAAATATCAAATGAAAAACTTGAGCAGAAATGACTCTTACTTACTTTTGCAAAAAGACAAGCGAGATTCTTGCTTAATTCTACTAAATTCAGTGCGGTGTGGGTTTTTGAGTATGTTACGATATTTTCACTTGTAGCATTGTTCTTACTTGAAAAACACATATAGAATTTCACGTCTTTTGAAGAATGTTACAAGAAGTGGACTTTGTTTTGAACTTTTCAGCGGTTAAAGATTGTATTATTTGCTAGAAGGCTATTACTTATTTATTCCTAAAGTTTCTTTGAATCCTTTGAAAAATCTGATATTTCATCCACATGATTTCTAGTGACACCTTGAGTTATCTGAATTTATTATGATATTCAAATGTGAAATATGATTGAAGTCTTTTAGTACGTTGTTTTTGCTTGCTATATTTGTATAAATGTTTTACAGTTGCATGCATGTCATGATTTTGAAAATCTTAATCAATAATAAAAGAAATCCTTTAATTAAAACATATGAATTCACAGTATAACAATAAAAAGGTAATCAGTAAAATTAGTCAGCATTATAATTATACAAGGAGAAAATATGGTTGGAATCGTATCTATGAATTCCTTTGATAAGAGAGTCCAAACTTTAAACTACCCGGAGATCGAATCTAAAACGTCAAAACCTTGTGAGTAGCGAGTTTTCACACTTTTATAAACGCCAACTTTTTACTCGTCAAATTTTTATTATTCTGTACATATTCACTGCTGTTCCACATCCAGAATTAGCCGACATTAAGTTTTAGTAACGACATGTCCAGTCTAATTTCGAATATTTCTAAGCTTTTATTGAATGACTGCAGACCGGTCTGTAGAATTATGAAATGGAAGAAATTTTTTTTTAGACTAGGTAGCATACAGATGAGTTAATCTTGAAAAATGCCAGAACTCAGAAATAGGGTCCACAGTTCATCATTATCCACTGTAATTATAGTGGGTGTCGCACGTGAATGTGAGTATAACATTAAATCGTGCGAGTTTTATAGGGTGCCCATAAAGTCTTAAAAATTTTTGAAATTGCAAAGGGAATTTATCTATACCTCATATCCATACCGTTTTGGTATGAAATGAAGTAAAATACTTAAACAATTACTGATTGAAAAACAACAAACCTGGTTGAGATATATTGATAACTGACTTCATTACAAAATTGAAATAGTAAAGGGACATTATGGACATCATGTGTATCATATTTATATAAATCATGTTGAGAAGTTGTTTGCATATATCACAACTTCAAATCAAAATTTGTTGTCGTATTGAGCAGAATGTCAATACATCTAACACCTAAAATTATAAAAATTGGCTACTCCCAAAGTATGTGAACCAGGATGGCGGACACCGAAACGAAGTATGTGTCACTTGGCTTGGCTAGTCCCGAACTCATAATAAAACAAAAATAAGGAAAAAATTGGAATGAAATTATGGCCTAACCTGATACACATACTACCGTGTCCGCCATATTCTGGAGCGCCGAAATATGACATATAAAATAACAGAAATAGATGTCCGAATATGAATTTCGCGATTCAATAAGCGTAAATTTCAGTTTATTACATAATTAATCTGTATCCACGATAAAGCTTAGCGTCCTTGCATTTTGCCACATTTGTGGCAAACCTATAATTTTAATAAGTTTATATTCATAACATAAGTGTGTCTCAATAGTCTATGATTTAAGACGTTGTTACTCGATCTATCTGGCAATACATTAACAATTATTTCCTGATTGTAGATAATACTTCCGAACAATGAAAGCGTTGAAATGAAATTTCTGGTAAAATTTGGAAATTACTTCCAAGTTTAAAATACAATTCAAAGTTCTATGAGTCATGGTTTTAGAAGTTTTATCTAACTATTAATTAAAAAATGCTGCGCAAACAAATTACCAAGTTTTTTGATATTTTTCTTACCGGATCCATCGTTTTTCTGTACAAAATAGATAGAAAGTTCTATTATTAGGTGTATATATGACAAGAACATATATATGATGATGGGATATTTCCACTTCCCGTTATTTTTTTTCAAAAAATCACGTTATAGCCCTCAATTTTAGACAACGAATCAGTAAATATTCGTCTATGAGTCGAATTTTTTAGCTTGCTCGCTACAGAGCGGGTTATTCATCGCCTATTTGAAACTCGTGTCGTAATAAATGGTACATTTACCTTGCAATCTCCAATAGTCATAACTTTTCCTTTGACAATCTTGGTAACACAGACACAATCTAGGATACATTAAACGTGATATAAATTTTCACCCGTTCGAAATTTAAGAGTAATTAATATAAAAACCGTTTACAATAAGAAGAGTGGAACACTATTTTTGAACAACTGTATTTTACGGATCATATGGCGCACTGTCATTGCTCAGATTGGGGTTTTTACTCGTTTGCCTGAACTATCAGTTTTGCTACAAATTTGATTTTACAAATCGCCTGGCTACTCAGTTACTTATCTCAGACCATCGGGTTAAAAACAATACAGCAACAAGCACTAGCCTTTAAAGCACTAAGTCAAACGAATATGAAATCTATTTTTATTCGGTTCCCCGATTTCGAATCAACAATTTTTGTCTAAAAATAATAAAAGTCTAATAAAAACAGCAAGAAAGCCACGGAGTAGATTGAACTTTTCCTTGACTTTACATCTCTCAAAACAACATTTTTTTCTTAAGAGCATGAATAAAATTTCTACTCGATGACTACACGAAGAGCAAACGCTGTCAGGATTTAGTTCAAAAAAGGCGCATAATTTTATGTTTGTTTTAATCTAAATCGCTAAGACCGATTTTTATAACTCCCAAATCAACCGCGGATCAGAGCTCTTTATTCTTTCAACACAAATCATTCCAATGACAGCGTCACTTAATCCCTCCCTCATATAATATCCTGGATACGCCACTGTCATATTATGTCGAGTACATGCTCCAAATGTGCGCAAAGATTAGATGAAGCTGAAATATAAATTGCTTCGCAAATATATTTAAACCATCGCTTTATATACACACTAGCAAATTATTGTAGAGATTTATAAGCAGTAGGTCCCGAGTTAACTACTTCCTGAGTCACCATATATCACATTATTTTATATATGATTATCAAAATATGACTATTTCCGGAAATTATTTTTCATCGCGATACGCAGGAAAAGGATGAAGCAATGCTTGTGTGAGTGGGCGCAAAGAAGCATTGCAAATGGTGCAACACCAAACCAATTGTAAACGAGTAACATATTACCGCATTCTAACACGCGAACCGGACTATGAACCACGCTGTCAATAAATTGCTTCAATTGGGTTTTTATCCATAAACATAAGACATAATGGGTATATATAACACGCAACGGTTTTTAAGAAGTTAAAGACGGCTTTTCTTTATGAAATAATAGTACCAGTACTGGTTTTGAGTGTGAACGATAAAGCATGCGACACTACCTAATACACACCTTAGATGCACCGGCCTATAAGGCGTACGTTTTATTTTGAGTATATATCAAGAGCGTAGCGAGCACAATATTATTTTGATACGACGTATTTATTACTATGCTCACTCCCTTCTTCCTCTCCCCAGACTTACTTCGCTGTCGAAGTTTTACAAGCGCACAATTTATTCTATCTCAGGTGTTTTGACGTTGGATGAAGGATTGGTAGTAAACCAAAAAACGTCGGGTTATTAGTTATATCTGTTTTATATTTTTAGTAATAATTAAACGAGAATATCGGTCTTACTCCATAGTGACACCTTGTGTCCCATCACTGATTAATTAATAGCTCGCTAATTATACGACATAATTCATCCAAAATCAATAGGCTTCTGGTCCGACATATGATGAATGCACATGCAAAATCTGGAGCAGATTCAATCCCGCTTTCGTGAGATATCGCGTGCATCTAACAGACAGACATACAGACAAACAAATATCTATCAACATACTTACCGATTAGAATCGATAAGTAACAATGCTAATAGCATTGCCACTCTTCATTACTTCTGATGTATAATGTCCAATATTATAGGCTATCCACTTCAAAGCCTGAAATTCTCTAGAGTATTTTCGGAAAATATTGGTTGTCTGTTTTTTCAGCTTTTTACTTATCGATCTTAAGATCGGTAAGTATATTGATAGGTATTTGTCTGTATGTATGTATGTCTGTGTGTGTGTCTGTTAGATGCACGCGATATCTCACGAAAGCGAGATTGAATCTGCTCCAGATTTTGCATGTGCATTCATCTTATCTCGGACCAGAAGCCTATTGATTTTGGGCGAATTATGTCGTATAATTAGCGAGTTATCAATCAATTATTGATATAGTGATCTAGATTTTTGTAAAGCGAGAGAATTTTGAAACCCGCCGAGTGTGTGTGTGCGATGCGCAGTGCGCAAGTTACAAGAGCGGATGAATCGAAACTGCAGTTTCTGTTTTGGGGGATCCCCTAACTATCGATCGATAAGTCTTCGGTTTCCAACCGATATTCTCGTTTTGATATTATTATTTTTTGTTTAATTTACTCGTACAATAATGGATGTAGCACAAAAATAGATGATATCTCAAGTTGAGATTTTCAACCCATCACCAAACTATCTTTGATGGATCATTCGCCACTGTCAGGGCTAGAGTTCAAAGGCATAGATCATTTATACGCAACAATGACTTGATCTCCAGACTGTGACGAAAGAATAGGGCAAATCCATTGTGCATGTGTTGCAGTGTTCTACAACTTTCTTTATCGTGGTATACCTTTTCCAATTATTTAAGAATGTTCGTAAACCTTACAAATACCAATGTTTATTCAAGGCTTAAATAAACATTAAATTTTAATCACATATTGTACTGCAATATCATCATGAAATCAAATAGGCCAAATTTGACCGACGGCCGCAAGTTATAAATTTGACCGACGCCTTAGCGGCAACGGGAATAATGTTCAACGTAAATTGAACGAAGTGCATGGCGGTTGAAATAAACAACCCAGACACGTGCCTGCATTATCTACATAATTTGTGATGTAACAATGTGCTCAAGTCGGTTCTTTGCGTAAATTAAATTTTATAGCCCATGTGCGTTGTTTGCATTGTTGTCTCCGCTTGAATATTTTATAATTTATTAAATTAGAGTTTAGAATCCCTGACTTAGGCTGTACACCCTTCGTATACCCTTTATCAGTTGTATACCAACCTTATGGTTCGGTATATACTGAAAAGTATACCGTATACCCGGTTGAAGAGCACTGGATTAGATGACCCAAAACCGCGTCTGAGTTTGGATCGCTGGCTATTTAAAATGGTGACCCACTGTGACGTATAAGACCCGGGTCTTATAAACGAAGTTGCAGACAGCTACACGGTAGGTTTTGATGAGAAGGATATTTTAAAGTAATAGAATTTTTTAAATGTAGGATAGATTAACAATTCTTAGAAAAAAATACCTGAACATTTATATTTTACTATAATAAATGGTTTCTCAATGGCTGGAAGTCTCACAAAATTTGGTATTATGACGAAGTTTCGAAACCACGCGATAAAAAATTCTGAAGTAGGCCTATTGCACCTGAAGGTTTGATGTTGCTAAACTTTTGGACAAAAGTTGTGTTGACCTTATAAATATCACTGGAACGCTGTAGATTTTTCACGTAAAAAACGTTAACTGCACTCCAGCGTGGAATTGCTGCTCAGTGGCGTAGCCAGCCCAAAATTTTGGGGGGGGGGCCAAATTTGAAAATTTTAGAAATTATATTGGGTTTAAAACACCGTTCTTCAAGCGCCCGTTCTTCAAGCGCAAAACAACAACAGTTGGTCACCAAGCAAACTGATTCAATTACTCAGCTGGATTTTTGTGAATACAAAATCCATTAATAAACAATTTTTTATTTGAAACAACAAATAATAACAACGCAATTTGAATAAGTAAAATACATCGCCCCAATTAAAAGTCCATCCTTCGCTTCCCGCCAACTATGCTCGACCCAACTCGATTAATTTACTCCTCGGTGACCATTTCACGGTGACAGTGAAGCACACACAAATCAGAAAGGCGATTGGACGTCATTGATGAGCGCAGCCATTGATTTACCCGTTTCATGCATGAGAAAGACCGCTCAGCCTCAACGGTGGTTGCTAGTAGCGTCGTAACGATCTGTATTGCGGTGTACACGCTTGACGAGACAAGATGCCACAAAACTGGTGGATTAGGAATGAAATTGTTGAAATTTTTTTTGGGGGGGGGGGGGGGGCATGGCCCCTCTGGCCCCCCCCCCCCCACCCCCTGGCTACGCCTATGCTGCCAATCCCTGTGATGTAGTTAACACTGCAGTTTACGACATCGATTTAAAATCTACAGCTTAAGCTGAGGAGTAGAAGGCAGATTTTTAAGTAACAATTATATAATCAAAGTGTCGAGTTCCGTGTCAAAGTTCCATCGATCTGGAACCCAAAATAAGGACGACTGGAAAAATTTCTGCATTGTGAGCAGAAATAGCTGGCTTTCCTATGCTGGGCTCCAGGTTAATGTCACAAATACATACATCACAGTGTGCGAAGTACTCACCCTTCAAGCATCGTTTAAGTTTGAATTTGTTCCCGTACTTACAAAAAACGTTCTTACGTTTGCTCATTTTTTAATTTAGGCTAAAATATCCACCACCACGACAAAACCTAAGGATCGCCACACTATCAATGCTTCATGCCTATCTGTGCCTTGCTCTTTGTATTCCAAATAAGATTGTGTTGCTTTTATGATGCCACAATAAAGCTTTGGCGATAGGACAAACAACACAAAGCTTCCTTTATAAAGTCCAAAAAAGACAAAATAATGACACGCAAGCCTAAAAATAAGCCAAAAATAGGGACAAACAATAAGCCAAAAATAAGGACAAACCTTAGAAATAAAGACGGTATGGAATCCCTGATTATATGCGTTCCATATCATCTAATAACAAACGTATTGGAACTCCCTATAATTTACATACTGCATCACTATAATTCATATATTACACCAGTGTATTAGCGTCATACTTTTATTACGAGATCCCTGTGTCAAAATATTTTTCAGATAAATATTAGTTTTACATAGAATGTGTGAAACCACAAATATAGAATCTGACTACATTTATTTTTTCATAAAAATGAAAAACAATGAATAAGTTATTATCACATCAACATCTTTATCTGCCGTATGGGGAATTTTCCAGCACTCATTCAACTTTTGAAATAATCTATCGTAGGCATTCACCGAAAAACTGTCAGAAAATTTCTGAAATATTGGCACGGTCATTTCATCTTCCTTGAACTTTTTAAAGCTAGTGCGAATCTTAAATTTCACTTCGTCATCTCGCCATTTCTGCAATTTTGTGTCGATTCCGTCATATAAAGCTTGATAGCGATCACTAACGTGTTGTTGTGGGTGATTTATTTTTTTGACGTAATCAGTAAGAGGCTTGAAGTACAATTCTTTGAAAACTCCATATCCTGATTTTGCATCTTTAGCGCCGTCTTCCATTTCAATATTTGATATTTGAAACCCATACGCAGCAACCATGCCTTTGGGCTTTAGCACCCGTTCGCATTCACCTACAAAATTTGTTACATCCATGAAATGCAACGAAAAACAACTTGTAACCAAATCGACGCTTCCGTCTCCACAGGGAAAAGCATCAGAGTTACCAACGGCGTAAGACACGTTTTCTTCCAATTCCATCTCTTGAGCTAGTTTTACTTGCTCGGAACTGATGTCGAATCCTATGATTGAATTGAAATTAGGCGAAAAGGCTCTGGTCGATCTTCCACTGCCGCATCCAGCGTCGACCATAAATTGAAACTTCACATCCTTATCAGATATTTCGCCGTAGCATTTTCCTAACTCGTTTAAAATTTTTGTAGTTATCGCGGAATCCAACGATGATTGCTTGGAATATTTTATGGCAGCATCTCTGCCACTGAATTCATTCATAATATTGTATATTTAGTAGTGTCTAAAACAGCAGTTCCAAGCCTTTTTCGTTAAATTCCTCTTTTTTTCTATTCTGGAACCCCCCACTATAAACTGCTATATTTATTCAGTCTTCAATCGATCCTTGCTTAGTGTTATGCGCAAGTCACATCCTCGCTTTTGTACAGTTAAATATAGTAAAAATATAAATCAATTAGTTGTTGCAGAAATACGTATTGTAATATTACTAAATGAGTAGAGAATACTATAGTAGTCACAAATATTCAAAGTAAAGTTTTCCTCTCCTTGAACAATAAAGTTATACACAGAGACAACACAACAAAAAATTAAGTCTCAACAGTTCAAACAGAAACTAGATTTAAACGAAATTTCTTGGATTTTCCGTATAAGAACAATTTTTTATTTTTATTACAACACACATTTCGCGTAAAAGTACGTCTCTCACTACTGGTTTTGGCACATTGTATTGTACTAAGCTCTATTCCGTCACAACCTATAAATAATAAACGGACATCGCTGAGTTTTATGATGATCAAACATTCGTATGATTCAAATACGAACGCTATGTTTTCTCAGCAAACAACGCCGATATGCCCTTTTGAACCGCATCTTTATTGATAAATTCCTCACTTGGCTCATTCCTCTGCATATAACTCTGTTTTCGTCTATTTTTCAGTCTTAAATTGTTTATGACATGGGTCGGAAACCTACGACCCGTGGAGTAATAACAAACCGGCCCGCGACGCTTCACTGAATTGTAGTAACAAAACAGCTGTGTTGACGATTATATTCTTCACGTAACAGAATTTATTGTGAGACACATGTAGACTAAATTATAAATATTAATAATAATGAATATAATAATAATATATAAATATAAAAGTAATATCAAGTATTATAACCAATCAAGTATATAATTCACAATTACTCGTTTGAGGGCCTATAATTTAATTATAATTGGAAAAATGGCAACAAAACGCAGATAAGTTAATGCTAAGTGCAAAGGTTGACGCGGGAAATATTCAAATGGAATTTTCTGAGATGCAATACAATAAGGAAATAAATCTATATTCCATTCGCGAGGTGTATCACTTCTGATTTTCAATATAAAAAGTATCTTCTCCATAGAAAACTCTATCCAAACCATGCGAAAAAATATTCACTATGATGTTTTGAAGTACATGTACATTCGAACAATATACAACAGTGTCCCATTTAGATAAGCGTGATGCAACAAAAAGTGTTACATGTTTTTTGTAAATTTTTGTCTACGAGTAAGGCCAAGTTGAGTTCATGAGTTGACACAGTCTTCACGCGGTGCTTAAATTTTAACTTCTGATCTGTGTGAAAAAATGTGATTCATCGGCCATCCACTTTCTAAAAATATTTGCCACCCGCCAATGACTTGCACACCTTAACTTTGGTCCGCGAGCGACAAAAGCTTGCCGACCCGTGGTTTATGATCTTGTGATACGGCAATATATCACACTTGATATTGTTCAGTTTCATTCCTAACCGTTTTACCTCAACGTTACCAGTGTCATTAAATAAAATGACCTCGCAGACCGGCAACATAAACTATATGAATATCAGTTCAAATGCAACAGCAAGAAAAAGTCAACTGGCGAGACTTACTTGAATGAACAAATAGTGCACGGTTAAAAAGAAGCTTCAACTATTTTTTGTCAACCATTGATGTAACAGGCAAAAGTTAACAAACATCGAATTGATATTATTGATAAATTATGGACGTCTTCCCGCAGCAGCATTAACTCTAAATATTGTCGGCGTAGCATTCGATTACGAAAATGTTTTATATTTTCAACTGCAAGCTAAAAACCTTGCATAAAACATTGGACGTCAATAGATAGGTAGTTGCCGGATTATAAGAATCATAGTAAAATCGTCTTCCACTAAGTAGAGATATTATTGGCAATTGGCATGCTCCGGCAACATTTCGCGTTTACGCTACTTTCCTCAAGCTCATTTGTTTATCACAAGTAGTAAAGTAATGAAACTTGAAAGTGAATACATATGAGAGCTGATTGCTGATGTGGATGTTTGTGAAGTAAGCAGCCTCATTCATACTATTTACAGTTGTTAATAATACGGAGAACTTTACCCGTTACAAATAGTTGTAGCCCGTTACTCTGACTTGGCTGCTTCTACAATGCCTTGCTCGAATCAGAGTGTCAATGTTCTCAGAACAAGGCTCTATGTGAGCTGCTTAAAAGTAAATAGCTATTGGGTTTTGAAAAAAATAATTTTCCAAGAATTTTATTATGTCGCCAAAACTAAGAACTTAATTTAATCTGCGACAGATAGGTTTACAGGTAAGCTCCATCATTTCACGGATAGGGAATGTCCCAAAATAACCAGATCTGGGTAGGGAAATAGCTAAACCGTGATTCCAGGTGCATTGATTATGATGAAAGGGTGCATCAATCCTAATTATGACCAGAAGTGTTTTGGCAATTTTACTGATATGGCTTTCAGGCTGATAGGTTGTAACTATAGGCAAAAAAAGCGGAATAAGAGCGGAAGGAAAGAATTGACAATGAAAAACATGAACGGAAACATAAATTAGAAGATGAAAAACGTAAACTGTAGTACGAAACGTAATCAAAAATTGAAATAATCAGGCTGAAGAACGAGAGATTCGAGAATAAATACCGCCACAAACAAAATGTAGTCCGAGAAATTGGCAATATTTATGAGAAACACGTAGCCACTTTGTAAGTACACAAATAGTTTGAAAAATTTTATGATGTTCAATTTCGCGGTAGAAGATAACCATTTCATCAATAAACACTATTTTAGTTTGGACTTCCACATCTAATTCAATAGAAACGAAAACAGGCTTTCTGGGATTAAAATCTTTCATTTTTTTTGTGTTAAAAAAGTCAAAAGTCACACGTTTCAATTACAGTGAGTAAGGAGGGTTCTCTAAGGAGAAAGCAGCGGAAAGTTTCAAAAATATGTTCAATGAACTGTTGAAAAAAATAGATTTCGAGTATGTTTACGTTTTTTTCATATCATATCATTGCTTGGAGAGTATTGAGCTTGAGTGATCAAAAATCTGAGTTTTATTTGTCTGCCAAACGAATGCTAAAATACGTAACTCTCTAATATTTTATTTCTATCTGCCCAAAAGTAATCTACGTAACATCTGAATGTGAGTACGAAAATTTGAATTTGAAGTTCAATTATCGGCAAGACGGATGTTGAAATACGTTTTAATATAATACTTGATCGAAAGTAATCCACAAAATATCTGTTCCGGGGCATGTGGCGCATTTACCTGCAATTTGAAAATTCGAGTAGAAACTTGATAAATAATCGAAATGAGGAAAGCGCTTTAAATTGTGTCGTGTTAACACTATGAAATAAAGTGATTGCTTTATATTAAGATTAAAACATTGTGTTTAAGGTTTGGAGACGCCACGGAGTCTGATGATCACCCGGAATAAATAATGTGTAATTCAAAAACTCGTCTTCAACAGACTGCATACCTGATATCAATAATATATATACCAAATATATACAAATTGACTACTTGATTTAGTTCTTTATTCTCAAATTATTATATATCCATATCCTACTTATTCATCTCTTATGATTGTTAATATATATGAAGAAATAAAAGTATCTTATATGACAAGGGACAGTGGGGATGGGGCTATTCTGTCAAGAAATCTTAGCAGTAATCGCGCGAATCCAAGCACATTGCCAGAAACAGCAGGTTGGGATGCTTTAGCTTAGTTTACACCCACTCTAAATGATGATCATATTTTGAAACATTCAACTAAATTTGTTTACAATATAGAGAGAATAGGCTGAATATGTATTATCTATCAATAAAGACTTTCTTCACTCGTAGAGTTAATAAATTAGTATCCGGTAGTCCGATGGAAGTATGAGTTTCACCTGACTGACAAAAATAAACCAGAAAAATCACTCGTAATATTTTTGTGATTTGTGCTTATCAACATAGCGCTTGCCAGTCCCTGTAGTTCCATTCTAACAGAGATATATTGCCTAGCTAGTATACTCACCCATATTCTGTCAAGAACTATTAGCAGTAACCGCAAGAATCTACGCATATCGCCAAAAGCACGAGGTTCGGATGCTTGTGTTTGTAACTGAAGTAGTAACGGGTAATTATTCATGTCTTATATGAAAAACATTTTCCTCAATTTTTCTTTAATTAACTTTTTAAGGTTTTCGAGAAACCACAAAACGATATTTTTTTCAAACTTTTGATAAGAATCCGCTTGAGGGCGTATAAACATTATTCGTGTATGAAAATATAGTCAAAGATAATGGCTCAATTATTGGATAAATTTATGAAGTACAAAACCGCTTTGAAATGTGTTTCATCTGTATTGTTGAAGGTTATACGCTATTAATTGTACATATATGTGTGACTATGCAAAACCGTGATGCTACTGTGTGCTAAAGAAAGATACCTTACGGACGCTGCGTCCATATGAGGTGCATAACGAACCAGAAGCTAGTGGCAAATACTTTACGGATGGCACATCCACATGAGATGTAGGGCGGCAAGCAAGATACAAAAATAGGTGTCCCTGTAGTATGTGCCCCAAGATGGCGCACAACTTCAACATAGTATGTGTACCAGGTTCGGGTTCAGGTTGTGCGCCATCTTGGTGCACATACTACGGGAGCGCCCAATAATATTACATGCCGCTTATCGTTGCTTTGGTTGATATAACCTTTTTCAGCTTTCTTTTATAGGCATTCTTTCTATCTTTTTCGGAAGTTTTCTCCAAAAACATTTTCACAATGCACTCGTTTGTTTATTAATACATAAATATAAGATCAATCGGATAAAGTGACAATAAATCAAGAGAGACTCTTAATCTCATCTCTGGGACAATGCTTCGAAAAAAGGGTCATTACTCTTTTACAATTGGTTATGTCTATTATTTCAAAACACGTAACGCACAATATATATACAAAGTGAAAGACTCGATTGCAAAACAAAGTTTCTAAATAAACAAATATACTTTTAAATATGCTTTTCTTTAGTCGTTATCATTGCTAATTGTACATTTATATTGCGCATATGAGTCATAAATATGTCACAATTGTGTATTTGACAAACTTTAACTGCAGATTGTAAAAACTATTACAAACAAATCAATACAAGCACTGCTACCAAAGTTGCCAAGACTGCCATTATAAAGTGAGTAAAACACGATAATCATAACGCTATACAGCCAACAATTAGGTGGTTTACATGCAAACTACGCAAAGTATATTATTACAAACATATGATTACATAAATATGCGTAATAAATTTATTTATGTGCAGTTCACTAGTAGAATTGACTTTGATAATTTTAGAGTCAAACGTTAAGTAATTGCACTTTTATAGCAAAGACAGATTTATATAAAGAGGGTAAGTTGTTGCCGGTACTTTCAATTTTATCAAACTTTCAGGATTATCCAATTTAAAAATAGAGTAGGCGGCAACAAAAAAATTAATCGCAACGATTATTCAGGCAGTTAATATGTAGCATTTTATTTTACAAAGTTGATCAAATAATTAGTATATCATCAATTGTTTCATTGGAAAACATTCAAACAACGTTAGATGTACTGGATGACAGCTTGCAAAATTTTCTCATCACTATTCCGTTACAGATAATCCACCTGGAAATAAAGAATGTTTTGAATAAAGCCATGCACCTTGGATAACTTCAACAGCGAAGTAAGTAGTCCGCAGAGAGATTCTCTAAAATCTTGATAGATATCAGTGGCTGTTTTATTTAGCCTTGTTTAGAGTAAAGGGCACGAGTAAGCGTCGTATTACGTCATTGTACAAAAACAAATCCCCCTCCAATAAAAAAAAACTGGGCTGGCAAGCTTTTGTGGATAACTATCGACGTTTTTACATGAGTTTTTATTTCCAGCGTGTGTTACAATAATTCATATTAGTATGTGAATAAGATTCAATGTTGGCTGTAAATAAATTAAATAACTAGATCTGAATCTCTCTTTGGACCAGTGGGTAACTTATACTTTAGGTGTATCTTAAATAATGGGTATGTTAAGTTGGTGCACTCAATAACGCACACGCATGGTAAGGGTTTATAAAAGAAGAATTCTTTTATTCTAGCACAGACATGGGCAAAGTACGGCCCGCGGGCCAAATCCGACCCGTTGGGTAATTCAATCTGTCCCGCCTGATGCTACCACAACCAAACAATACCAAATTTTATTGTTTTAGCCAAAAATAGCTGAAGGAATTGTTGAGATTACGGTCGCACGAGGCATATTGTTTTCCTCCTTTGTATTGTAACACTATAAATATTGTTCATACAATGTAACTTTTTACGTCACACTTACATGACCCGCCAGACTAAGGGGGCAAAATTTTTGGCCCCTGGATAGGGTTGCCAACTATGAAGTCTCAATAAAGAACATAGATTACCGTCATCATTTATTTTGTAACTTGCAGGAAAGAACAATATAAAACAATGAAAAACAAATAATATACAAGCTAAAAAGATATATTAAAAATCTTCATGTGTTTTTCATTTACCGTAATGTTTATTTAACATTGACTCAATCAAGCTGCTTTCTGGAAACAGTTTAGTGCTTTGAATCGTGCCAAATGTTTTTTTGAATGAGTGCAATTTCATCAAATGAGTCAAACATATTCAAATTAAGTTTGTCTTTTAGCTTCAGATGCTCCGATGTTCAGATTTTTACAAGTGTCTGATATTTTGGAGAAAGATTATTCAAAAGATATAATTTTCCAAATGTTGAATTTTAATCAAAAGTCAAATCTTTTTTCCAAATACGTTATCGCAGAGTTGAGAAATAATCTAAAATCTTAGAGACCAATTATATACGTAGAATTTTCAGTTATTGAACTAGAATTCACTCAAATCTTGGAGTGTTGCCACTTGCCATCTTCGGAAAATCATTGTAAAATATTTGAAATTATAAATAAAATTGGTATTTCTTTGCTAATTTGAGCCGTACCAAGGCGAAATTAAAAAGAATAATTAAAAGCGATTTTAGCGAATAATTAAAGAACGAAACAATATCAAACACAGTACTATGACTATCGGGCAAAACGACATTGGAAAAAATAAAGGACAATTATCATCTTAAAAAGGACAAGGACAAAAATCTCAAATAAAGGATTGTGCTTTGAAATAAAGAACGGTTGGCAACCCTAATCTGAACCCACCCTACCCCTGGATCAAAAACCTTGCCCACCCTGTTCTATCATGACACATCTGATCGAGGTAAAAAAATAAGTGGGTGCTAACAATCTGAAAGAATCCGATGGAACATTCGCCAAGGGCTACCTAAATGGGATAAAATAGATGCAGTTTTAATCCCAAAGATAAGATAAAGAGACCGCGTGAAATATAAAAGAGAAACAAAGTCGACGGCCGAGAAATAACGTACTGTATATGATATCATAAGAGAAGAATGAAATACATTGGGACGTTATGCATGATAACAGCAGGCCCGATATTAAGGTGGAGTTCAAGTTCGTATATAATAACAAGTGGGCGGTTAGGTCATATAAATATCACTCGAGGTTCTTGCTGTAGAATTTTGTAGAATGAAATAAATACCCGTACCCGATTTAAAATGCCAACCAATTGAGAGTACCCGGTTTTGCCGGAGGCCTGCGCCTTTTTATAGGCTATAAATAGGGATCCTTGGTCCAAACGGAAGTAATTCTACATATGATGTCTTGAAATCGCTAAATTTCTTGATCGTAATACATGTAAAATTATTCCAAATGGTTTCATTCTTGGGCCTGTCGTAGGATTTATTCACAGTAAACTAAGTAAAAACCATTGGGGAATCGTTATGTGGAGTCAAATATGAACAAGGATTTTATAACTCTATATCATTGCAATCATTCTAAAAAGTAAATGATTAATATTTTCAAAATTTAGATACTCTCATGCCCTTAGGCTAGCAGGGTGAGTGGTATTTGCACTTAGTTTAGGACGGTTAAAAGTTTATTTTAATATTGAAGTGGATCGGTCTAAGTTTGTATCGGTAAATTTTCCTGAATAACTTAATAATAATTTTTGAAGTATGGGGGGCAATAGGTCTTTTTTGTTGGGTTGGGACGGATTAATTAGCATTTCAAAATGGGAGTTGAGTCAAGACCAGTAATATTTGTTAAGGCGTCGTGGTGCTTTGGTTTAAGTCACGGGTGTGTACCCTTTGATACATAAGGACTTCCTGGTAGTTGCATGCACAAATATTTTGGTTATTAATCTTATGGCATGCCTTGTTAAAAAAACTAAATTTAAACCGTTTCGCCGCTCACCATCTAAAATTGGCACTTATCCGCGGGCGCATTCTGTCCGCAGGTTGCACACCTTTTTTTAAATTATGACAATAACTTTGTATTTAGCAATGAGATAGGGTGGTTTGGGTAAGGTTACGACGACTCGAATAAGATCGCGTAATTAAACGAAGATAGAAGTGAGTTTTCATTTAAATATTGCTGCATTTTTTATTTGGACAGGCAACCGAAGGAGAGAACAAGGTTTTGCATATAGTTGGACTTTCCCATGCGTATTAATAAGAATATTCTTAATTGAAAAGCTTTCAATTACCTTCTACCGGTCCCCCTGTATCGACCAATTTTTCTTTAGACATGGACGTATGAACATGAGCCGATGTATGTGGAATATCGCCCGGGGAACTGAGTGTAGACTTTTCTAGAGTTAAATAAAAGTTATAAAATACAGTCAGTTCTATATAGTGTAGATTTTTTTGTTTTGTTGTGTAGAAAAACTTCTTAATCGCGTTATATCATTCCAAATGAGCAATTAAAATGATTTTCCGTTTGAAGTCTATTTGTAATTATTTCATAAAACAGCTAAGATTAAAACATCATACAGCTAGGTCACTTTGTATTTTCTTCAACCTGGAATTATCTCAATTGATCTTAATCTGGTATCGGAAGATATAAATTACCTTCCGTCAACTCGTTCAATTCTTTCTCCGCGGGCGCGTGAATACGGGCTATTACCCGGGTATTCGAAGTCTTGACCTCAGATTTTTGTGCAGCGAGGTAAACCTTAAGAAGTAATTTTGTGACATATTAGATTTTGTTGTGTTGCGTAGACAACTGCATTTTTGTTCCGAATCAACTATTTGCCGCTATTCAAATTTTTTTCGGTATTATAAAACATTGAAATCAGCTAAAGCTGCAAGTTGAGTATTAATGGTTAAATAACCAGTTACTGAACCTTCCACAACTGATAATGAGTGGAATGCTGAAACGGAATTGGTATCACCATTAATTAAAGGAAATTTCACAATTTTTCATCGTTGTGTTTCATTCCATAATAAAACATATGGAGATATCTACGCTTACGTCTTACTTGCTTGAGGTTTTATATCTATCCCAGCGCCGAATGAATCCATCGTATCTCATTTATGGATACTATAGTGAGTGGTAAAATATATACCGTAGAAAACATGTGAAGCTGGATTTATATCAAAATTAATTTTTGCGCAAGCTGATTCCTCGTTAAGGATACCAACGCATAAGCACCTATACAATATTCACCTCTTTTGCCATGGTAGATATAGCTTGGTATTGCTCATTGCTGGTGAATGAAGAAAGTGTTTCTGATTGCAGTACGGTCATGATGGTAGAAAGCGATTTTCTGTAACAAATGAATTTCGCAGCTATTATAATAACAAAATTACATTGTATGGTCACGTTTTATAGAGCAAAGACGCAAGCTTTCCTTTACTCTTATTATCTTGTAATGGCGCTTATACCTGGCGTAGTTTATGGCGTAATTCTATAACAAAAGATGTAGTTCTGGGATTTGTTAGCAAATTGATAATATTCACGGGGGATACATTCAGGTATTTGCAATGGTTACTTAAAATGATATTGGGACGTCACTTAGTACAGTATATATTGTCGCACGTACAAATTTACTATCGCATACAAAAAGAAAGGTCAGATTTTTAATGGTTTTTATGTAGCGATGCGATAACATATACAGCAAGAAGAAAATTTTAAAATAAAAGAGTTGATTACAATTTTATTAAATCCGCACATTCCACACAACACCTAACTTTAATTTACAAAACATTAGTTTTCTGCGAATCCATCCCGTTTTTCTTTTCCCCTCAACCTACCCTGGATAATCCTTTAATATTGTAACGAATCTGTCGATAAAATCTCTCAGAGTTGATCGCACGACAAATGCATCAGCATAAGTTGGAAATGGTGTAGTCTCGTTGTCGTCAGCTTCCCACAAATTCTTAGCATCATAGAAATCTATCCCATTCTAAAAATCATAAATTCGTTTTTTTTTCTGACCAATATCGCAGCAAATTAGCATATTAGTTTGTCACCAGAAATACACACACACCGCTATTTTGAAAAGCAAACTACATCAAATCTATAAAAACGAAAGTACTTTCAGCTGATTTCACAATTAGTATGAGAATCTACGTGGGTTTGGCGCCTCCGCCAGAAAAAAGCGTCAGGCATTTCGGTGACTTACTTGTGTTCGAATACCACCACTGCTATTTATTACATTATAATCGTATATCACTGATTTATATGCCATTTATTGAGCCTAATGACCTCACCTGGAAGAAAAATACTTTTGGCTTCCCGTCAAGCTTGGGACAATCATTTGGATTAAAGTATTTCACGATTTTTCTCATTTTAATTGACAAGTTGTCTGCAGTTTCAATATGCGTGTCGTTACCTGAATTGAGCAAAGCGTTTTAAATGCGTGTTTTTAATGAAGTGGTGGAGTCAGAACTTTTTTATTGCGATAGAAACAACGTTGGAATCATTGGAGTTCGGAGCTGGAGTCATACGCTTCAACAAAAACTAAAAAAAATATATTTCGAACGCCGAAGTTTTTGTTTTTAAGTATTATTTATCACCAAGTCGGAAGCTCGAGTTGGTGCTAAAGTTTCAGCTAAACTGAAGTGGGTTTCTAGATAGGATTGTTGTATTTGACTGAACCGTTGTTCCGTCCATGAACTGTTTCTCCGCGTATTTACAGAATCTTAAAAATGCGGTGCACCAATGTACTACGTGAACCATGTACCAGCACGTATATCATTGATCATCTTTAGCCATCGCACATATATAACAACTTATACGCGGGCTGGATTTATTGAGAAAGTTGCACCAACGTGATTAAACTTTCAGTAAATAGTAACAGAGGGCACCAATTTGAACGAAATCCAGCAAGTTTGTACCATTCCCAAATGGAACATTTGGTGATTCGAGCAGTACACACGATAAAATGCGGTGACATCTTCTCTACACAAGCACGCACAGCTGGAATAATTATATTGCCAAAAAATGAAATTAAAACGCAACAGACCTGTAGAAAGAACGAAACACACGAAACATCCGTAGTTATCAAAATCCTTCGACTTCAGTGAATCGAAAATCGACTTCATTTCTTCCTTCTTCGGACTGTCGTGGAATTCCACTTCGTAACCTTTGGTGGCGAAGAACTCACGAAGAGATGCTAAACGAGATGAAATTGTTATGTTAACAAATGATAACAAAAGAGAGGATTTTCCAAACTAGAGATACACCAGGGGAGAGAGAAAACGTTAAGAGGAATTCCCGAGCATTGCCATTCGCAGGATAAATTGAAATTGTTGGTGATTTTAGCCAGAGTATCTTATTAAAAAAACACCAGTTTTGCAACATTCTTCCCGTGCTTATTCTATCGGTTTGTAATTTTAACCATCTTTGACCAGGAACAAAGTTTTTGTCAAAAAAGTGCGTCTCCCGGTCGTAAAAAGACAAAAACCTGTTACTTATCATGACCATATGCCCATACATACTAAAATCGAGCAAAAGTAGTTTTTTCTAATGCGGGTTCTCGTTAGTTATTTCAACTCCACTATATACTAGTGAAAATCATTTAATGTGGAATATTTAATATTTTCTTTTATATGTCTATTAATGTGTTCAGCTCAAAAAAAAACGTTATTCTTTCGCGCTCAATGTGGAATTTTTACCGAAAAACAACACACTTACTGACCTGCTGCCCGTGAATACCTTGTATTATTGTTTATAATGATACACAGACCGGTATACTTTGTCTCTGTGAACCTAGAATAGTAACATATATACTAGAAAATCGAGCATACATGAGTATATGAACACAAAGTTATCGTTGTAGGATGTTTCCTAAATACCTAACCTTCGGTGCGCTGATGCTGGTCAAAATGAAATAGCAAAAAAATCCACTAGGGGCGCAATTGAGACAAAAACATCAGAAAATATAAATAAGAGCCTTTCAACTTTCCATCTTTATTAACTAGCGTTTGGTTGTTTCAACAGCAAACAGAATACTTATTGAATTATTTTTGTTGTTTACCACTGGAGGCGCTGGTGATACATACGTTCACAGATTTTAGTGATTGTGACATCATAATACCCCGTGTGCGTTCGCTGCGCGCGCCGCTTCAGGATCTTGGTTCGAACTTCTCAGGACTGTGGGATTGCAGATTTGTGGTGCAAGGTTTTTGTTGTCTGGTTGCAGATTTGTAGTTCCAAGGTTTTAATTGTATTTCCATATATTTAGATTTAATAACATTAACTTAATTTCAATAACTGTTCCAATCAACTGTCGATTGTTTTGTAAGCTGAAAGCTACACTGTCAAGTACGTATTTCAGTTTATTGTTTTTATATTTAGGGAATATTTCGGTTGTACCGTGTTTTATAATGACCACTTTTGTAATCTGCCGCAACAGGTATTTTACTGGCGTTAACCTGCGTATGTTAAGTTCAGTTCTAATGTGTACAATTTTGTTTAGCTAATAATTTCAATTGTCGACTTATTTCTTGCCGATACATTATTTGTTGTAAATATTGTTTGTTTATTTTATTTAGAAAACCGTATTGTCGTTTCCTGACAATAAACGACATCAACTTGTACTGTTATACGCGTCTTTTCGTGGGCGCTAAAGGCACTCCAAATTTGGCGTCTACAATACAAACTCACTCATAGGGCTTTTTAGGAGGTGTCTCGTAGTTGTCATCTTCTGCATTCCTGCCCCTGTAACATACGTGAATTACTTGAAATAACTCTAAGCGCGTCAATAACCGTTTGCTATTCTTTGTGTCTACTTTTTGAGAGAAACATAAGGTCCCACAATAATAAGAGAAAAATTGAAAAAAAAAATCGGCGCTCCAGAAGTAGTAACTAATTTTGTTCGCCTATTTTACATCGAGTCGTGTAAAGGGACTGAAACCTATGGGCAGGTGGTATATTCACTTGGCTTACACAGACAGTCCCCGAACTTGTAATAGAACTAAAATAAAGAAAATCGGTAATTATAAAGTTATGGCCTAACCTGGTACAAATACTACGGGAGTACTAATAACAAAGGCGCTCCCTTATTATGTGCACCAAGATGGCGGACAACGGAACGTAGTATGTGCACCAGGTTAGGACATAATTTTATTCTAATTTCCTTTTTTAGTTCCATTACGAGTCCGGGGACTAGCCAAGTGACTCCTGTAGTATTTGTACCTTCAATTATGGCCTAATCCTAACCTGCTACACATACTACGTTTCGGTGTCCGCCATTTTAGTTTACATACTACATGAATACCAAAAAAACTAATAGTTGGGTAATAATCCTAGTTCACAATACCCATTTACAAATAGAAATTTCTTACGAATATGTGGCGTCCATTTGTCTTACAAATCTCTTTCTCATTACCACCATTCTTCTTTCATGATCCATTTTGATAGCTATTTGTTTGTCTTGAAATTCTTTTTGCAGCCTGGCTATTTCCTGATCAGCATCATACTCAGTTGAATATGTGAAACCATCTTGGCCTGTCCTTGAGGTGTCGATATCATAAAAGATATCATCGCCTGCAAGACAATACAACACCGTTATTAATATTTATTATGTGATTTATCGGACAATAAATGGACTCATGAATCATGCCAAATCGTTATGCTAATAGCTGGGGCTGTGAAAAATCGCCTTCCCGTGCGAGTTTTGAACCAATCGGTTTAACATTTTTAGTACTTGAAGATGGGTAAAAATATATGGCAGATTTTATGGGGCCGATTTTCATCGAAAATTTGCAAACTTTTATATGACAATCGGTAGTCTTTGGATCTTCATATCCCTACATTTTAAGCATTGATTTTTGTTGAAGACGGGCATGCTTTATTGGTTTCGGCATATATATTTGATATTCAGAAGACGAGCATACGTGACCAAATTATTGCGTTTTAACAGCAACCCAACTGTTGTCCTATACTAGAAGTATTTAGATGGCTGTTTATTCATCAATCGAACTTAACGGTTTAGAATCCTCAAGGAACAGTTCTCGTATTCCATATCGATACGTACACCCCTGGACAAAAACTCTAATCGTGTGTAAACTAAATTCTCCCCAAAGCGCAAAGATCGTGAGGCTGAACATATAATCCTTCATGCTTCTGATGTCTTTGGGAATTAAATAGTGAACACTGGACACCCTCAATGTTAAATCTTTATTATCTAGCAGTTGATAGTTACAAAGATGTTGGTGTCACAAAGATTTAAAACAATTTCCACCATTTAGGGCTATGTATTCAAAATATAAAGCAGTTTCCCTGTTCATATGCCTAATCTGAACTGCTAGTCTGAAGAAAAACAGCAGTGTATCATTCAATTAAGACATCTTATCGATTTTTCACTCTCAAATGAAAGGTCAACAGGTCGCAATCAAATTTTTATGTTTCTGTTCGTTCTTACTTTCACCTATTCTGCTGCGTCTGTTCGATGTCTCGCTGTCATCCTCTGGTACGCAGTATTCTGCATCGTCAGAATCATCATCTACTCGCTCTGGGCGACGAGAGTTATCTAAATACAATATATCATCTAAAGAAAATCGATAACACATTCAATTATGTGTATTTCATATACAGCAATAGTTTCCATGCAACGCTTATTCTCACACCTCGGTGTACAAATGGCCACGGATATTAAACGATAAGTAAATAACGACTATTTACCGGTTCGCCATTGCCTATCCAATATTTTACAACTTGTGTTGGGCATGGGTTTGAACTCGACGCCTTACCCCAATTAAAAAAAAAATTAAGTAAAATATCGCGACCCAAAGATAATATCGCATACTGGAAGATATGTAGTTCTTTTATGGTTGCATAATAAAATGGCTACTACAAGCAGTCATTTTTAGATAACATTTATTTCAACAGAAATTAATTGCTAGTTAGTAAGTTGCGCTTATTTGCCATCAGCGAGTTTTTGAAATCATAGCATGGGTTAGCGTAATAAATCGTAGCAAAATAGATGCTGTCAGGTTTTTATGCTTCCATATTTCCCACGTACAAAATTACAAATGAGCAATACCACAATCGCAAATATAAAATAACCAAAAAATTCACTAAAATTATTTTTGTCGGAAAAACAGGTGCGAGAGCGCTAAATGAAATATATATATATATATGTGTGTTCATACTAAAAATTCTACAGCTTGTAAAGCTTTATAGGAACCGGTTAATATTTGTTAACCCAGCACACGATTCTCTCTGTTTCTGTTAGGGCAGAGCTGAACCCAGCAGACACGAATAGTAACAAAGCAACCAACCTTATATTTGTTGTATTGACGACACAGAGCAGAATATTGATACAAGATCAAAACCAGTGAGTTAATTTAAAGAATTATTGTCCGTTTATATACAATAGTCGAGACGCCTGTTATGCCTTTAGGGTTTAGCTTTTACTTGGATATCGTTTATAATAAATAAAGTAAGAATGCCGTAATTAAGTCTCGGCCATTCTTGTAAAACGATTTAGAAGGATGTCTGTAGCCAATTAAATAGTTAGCTATAAGTGGTCGAGTGATTAAAAACTGGCTTGTACTAGTTTGTCTTGCTCAAGGGCAAGATAACGTGTTTTTAACTAACGGGTTATTCCTATGAAAGCCAATTAAGTATTTAACGTAAATATCTTTAAGAAGAAATCTTGTCCTACTGGGAATTACTTTTTTTCTTACTGTTAAAAATATGGTCTAAATAACTAATATCCCTATATAATTCGGCCCTAAAGAACGGAGTTCGGGGTTTCGGCATAACAAACGTGTCAAAAACTGTACAGATTTCTACAAAATAATAACGAAAAAAATAATGATTGTAAGATTACACTGAAATTATAACAAAATAACTCGAGTGAAATTAAGGTTATCCCGGCTGATAAAATAATAATTTGATTTGTAATAATCTGGAAAGTTTTATGATAATTTTCAACTTATTTCCGAATTAGCTAGATTTAAAATTGAGTTATTTTCTCCCAATGTCATTAATACTTCAAGTAATAAACAAAATATTCATGATTATACGGATACACATTAATATATATACTGAAATTGAAAAATTTAATGGGACAGAGAAGAGGCATGAAGAACAGGTAATTAGAAAAGTGGAAAGAAGCTTTTAGAAAAGATTGGCGTATTATAGTTTTAAATTTGATGTTGACAGTCAAAACAGTGATTTCAATTTAACATATTTCATCACACCTTAACCTTACAACTCGCAAGTAATGGCTTAGCTAGCCTTGATATCCCTTGTTGGGTTTGAAGCGCTTTGAAAAAAAATAGCCTTCTGTGGGCGTTGAGAAAAAAATGCGCTTAGTTTATGTATTTGATCAATATATTCGTATTAGACGAATATATTGGCGAGATTAAAGTATGATTATATTTAAATCATCTTTTTAAAAGGTTGCCAGTGATTTAGAAACATATTCTATCGAAAATGGGGTTGTTTATGACCGTCAAATTTACATTCTTTATGAATTTTATGAAAACCATTCGTAACTAAACATTTACTTATGTTGGACAATCATTTGGCCTAATGATTTTATGCCACTTAAATAAACATCCGAATTACCCTACCTTCAATGAATTCATAAAAATTGGAAGCCGAATTTTAAAACGCCAGAGAGAAATAGAAGAATTTTACCTTAAGAATAGGAGAAGTATGAAGCGTGTCCCAACAAGATGAAAAATCTGCACTGATAAAATAAAACAAAATTATGAGCATGAAAATAACATATTGTTACGTTTGTCATTCTTTTCGTCATTTGTCGCGTTAAATAATTTGTTTGGGCGCGTTTTATGTACCGTATTTCTTTGAAAAGTCCCTTCGTCTGTAGTTGATTCATTATTTCATCATTTTGATTATTTTTCGTTGATTTTTCACCTCATAATTTTTCAAAAGTTCGTTTCGTTTGTCCGTTAGCCATCGTCAAGATTCATCGTTTTGTCGTTCCATAGCCGTCTACCATTGTTCAACTGTTGTTTATCTTTAATGCATTGTCATCTCGTTCTTTAGCGTCCGCACTGGGAAGAAAAATTGGCGATTATTTTTAGCTAATGGCCCCTATACGCTTAGGTTAGTAGGAATCGTGAATATTACTTAACTTTTGTTCCTCCGTAGATGTTGTTGATCTCCGTTGACACAACAGCAGCGAATCTGACTCCTCTCAGATAGGCACAATTCTCAGTCGGGGTCTCACCAATTTTGCAACCGTTAGAACTAAAGGTGACCCCAAAGACATCAACTCCACAAGCGAGCCGAGGATAAAAAGATCAAGGAAAATGAAAAACAACCAAACCAAGATTCAGACAGTATGAAAAATCAAGGAATTACAAGCGAAATACCAAAGACTCTGACAAAAAGAAAAAGACTGTTAGATTTAAAATGTGTATGAGATTCACATTATATGGACTGTTATAAAAATATGTGTGTAAAACATTCACACTATATGAACTGTTTTACACCAGAAAAAATCGTAAAATCAAAAACTAGTCGGAACTCTTGACTACAAAAAACAAATGAGAAAGATATGAAACGAAAGAACTTCATAAAGAAACGCCCGCGAACCAACTTCAAGAAACCGCGCGATTGAAGCATTTTATATTGTACTATAAATATTTCAATTTCGTTTACAAAATGGACAGACATTCTTCTTCTTCTTCACAGGTATTTCACGTTTCCTTCTTTCTAATCTTTAAGGCGTTCTATATTTGGTATTAAACCCAACGAGGTTTACTCAAAAATATTTAATTTATTCGATTTTGGCAGATATTAGCATTCGTTTTCTTTAAATATACTTTACGTTGACTTTAACATTTTTTTCAAAATATGATTTCATATACGATCGTATTTCGAATCAGCGCTTCAGGATGTATTTGCATAAACGCAAGTGAAATCCTCATTTTTTTTATTTTTAAACGCCCAAAGAGGCTCATCACAATTATAGCCGGAAAGGCTCATCAACGCAACACGCGTATTTTTTTATTTTTTTCAGCGCTTCAAAATTTATTAATGTGAAACGAAGTGTATTAAAGCTAAGCATTGGTAGTAATCTGTCACCTAAATTATAAAATAAACCAACGCCAAATCTTTTTCTTTCCATACACTGTATAACACACACACATTCTGTCTCATAATCATAATTTCAACTTTCTTATGTTTTTATGAATTTTGTTGCATTTTGTGTATTGTTTTTCACTGCACGCCCAAGCTTGGCCACTGCTCCGCAGCTAAAGTAGGTGCATAGTATAGGATATTGGGTAATTTTGCTGCTTTTGGTTAAGTTACGTGTTTAGACTTAAAGTCATACTAATCTTAAAATTAGAAGCAATCTCTCAGTCATAAAATACGTAACAATTAGACGTCCTGTAAGGTACGATGACGATAACGCGTCATGCCCTAAGGATACCAAAACCAGCATAAAAGCGACCATTCGTTGGGAGAGAAAAAAAAGGATAACGATGGACAAGTAATTAATGGACTCGGGCTTGCAGTGAAGCTTTGATTTTTATGTGACTTATCAGTCATGACTTGGAACTGTTCTTTGTATTTGTAAATATACAATTGCAATATATGTATTCGGTACCAGGAGTATGTCTTCTTCATAAGATCAGATCAGAAACAACAGCAATACAGAAATAATAGCAAAACTACAAATGTTCCCTAAAGCTTGACCAGAAATTCCTCCATTCTCTTGCGATTTTCTCGCGTATTCCTTCATCTGTTTGATTGCTTGTGCTTGCTGAGTCGTTTGGATTCTGTATGGAATAAATATGAAGGCGAGAAACTAAGTAACCAATGCCGAATGAGAAGGAGTCCAATCGTCAAATTAGAAGATCGACATCAGACTCGAACCCATTGATATATAGACACCGTCTTCTGGTCGATTGTAATACAAAAAACGCCAACTCCAGTTCACAGCGGGAGTCACCTCTCGAACTCCTATAATCGCAAACAACCGAATCTATAGTGATTGCCCAAAGTAGAATAACTTACTATTCTGAGTACATTTTGGGAGTTTGGAAATATGAAATATGTTTTTAATTGAGTCATGTACCATTGAGATCATGTACATATATAGTAGTCAACTTACACTGTGTTAGTTATTATTACTGGGACCTCAAATTAAACTATTTTTGATCTAATATATATCTAATATACTCGCCAATATTAAAGGACCAACAAACGAAGGAAGAATAAACGCATTACAGTCAAAGCATCAAACAAATTTGGTTTACATGTATATGTATGTAGTCACGGAGAATGGTAGCTAGCGAAAGCCTTTGCCCGTGAGACCCAGAGCCCGCACTGTGTCCTATAAGCACCGAGGAATCAGCTTGAGAAGCTCTTTCTTATTTAACCTAGTTCAGGAATGCGCCTCTGGAACGTTAGATAATAACATCAAACCTTGTATAAATCTATATTCAATACTTGAACCAGATGTGATTCACCTTTAAAATTTCGTCGCGGGGTTGAGAGGATGCAGGCGAAGCCATCGTACTCAGAGGATGCAATGTAGCATAAAGCTATCAAGCCTATTGATCTAAGCTAATCTGAAAATATATGCAGCATGTTATTATTAGCATTCCAGTTGTTGACGAGAAAGTTATTAAATCGAAGAACGCTGATTCCTGTCCTTCCAAAATTATAGTAGCTGTTTACCTAGCAGTGAATGCTTGTACAGAGCCTGGTTTGGAGCGAAAACGCATAAAAACGTCGTATATAAATCCCTAATAAAAATATGATTCCAATCGGAACTCGACCTTCCTAATAAACGGTTCCTGAGCTCTAATATTAACACGAGGCCTGATTTATTGGATCTGCCAATCAACAATTGTTTATAGAATATGCTCGAAAACCATAGCTGTGGAATTGGAGAAAATTTAATTGACTCGTGCTTTCCCAACCTGAACCTGGGTTAGGCAAAATATTTACTCTGACTCTCCAAGCTGTAAAAAAAGCTTCTGAAATATCAAATAAAAGATTTGGCGTATTCAAGCCTTCTGTGATAGAATATTCACTGTGTAATCAAGTACAATTGGTCGTTCAAAAAAATTTCACTAAGCGTCAACATGGCTGAGTTCGTCCGCGTGAAAACCTTTGTCGCGCGTCGCGAATTTTGTCTTGAATCTGTATTTATACCACGTATATGGAAACGAATAAGCATCCACGGGTACGAAAGTAGATACATTATTTTGGACAAACCATAATCTTTTCGGTCCGGCATTGCTCACCCAATTTATTACCCCCTTAGGCGAAGTGGCGTTTATTGAATTTGAACTCGAGATCGACATAGTTGAGTCTAACGCTTTAACCACTAAGCCCACAAAATTATATCCGTTGATTGTGCAAAAGGTCCATTGCAAAATTACTACTCTTCTAAAGGTTCGTATAATGCGACCATTTACCTATAGGTAAGCTGATACTAAGATAACTTCTAATAATAATTAGAGATTACTACAATACTACACTATACGACTATTTAGCAGCAGCAATATGAATGAAGAATCATTCTATGCGTAATTTATCAGTCAACCAGTTGTTTTTACCAACCAAGCGTTTTATAACACGAAGCTTCCAAGTTATTATTGCCGAAGAAAACGTGAGGTGGAAAGGATTTCCACAAATAGTCAAGAAATATATTAATATCAGAATATCCGACATTTGGTAAAACTTGAAAACTTCTGTTTGTTACTGAGTGATATTAATATGGGAGGAGTTAATTCAACTGGTGAGTAATTGCGATCTATATTAACGTTTTTGTCAAAAAAAAGAACGATTTTATTAATATTAATTCCGATGCAGAGGATCTAGAAAACTAGAATAGATTGGTAACAGCGAGTGGCTTCTTCGGTACTCTGGCTGCCCTTGCCCAGTAGATAATTGTGTTATTATCTCTTTTTCTCGAAATTTGTGTATGATTGGATTTCTAAATTGATAAATATATATACATTTCTGCGTGCTGCCGTAGTATGTGTACCAAGTTAGGGTTGGGCCATAATTTTATTCCGATTTTCTTTTATTTATTCCTAGTACGAGTTCGGCGAGGGTCTGTGTTAAACCAAGTGAATATGCCCCCTGCCCATAGGTTTTAGTTCAATTACACAACTTGATGTTAAATAGGCGAACAAATCTAGTTACCTACATGTTAATCCTCCACATACTTCTACAGCGCCCATTTATTTGGTTCCATTTCCTAAATATTTTCTAGATTTTGACAAAATCTCAGAGAGCATCATCGCAGATCGCCACAGATTCGGCATTTTGTTAGGAGGAATCATTATAGTCAATGTCAATTGTTCTTTCAAATTTGATAATTTCAAATATTCCCATTATCATAGTGCTTAGTGATGTTGACTTATTTCAAACTTCTATTGATAGATGAGAGGGTTAAAATGCAAAGGGCGGAAAGAAGAATAACCCAACAAGAGCGCCAAGAACAAGACAATAGACGACGAGAAGAAGAACGTGAACGCAGAGAGGAAAACGATAGACAACGCAAGTTTGAGCTTGAAAAAAGCAAGTTGGAGATCAAGTATAAGCTTGATAAGCAATTGGAAGACAATCGCCACAAAGAAGCAAAACTCGAAAGGGCATTGAAAATGCAAAGTGATACATGACAAGCACATATAAACCAGTGGTAGGTACTACATATATGCTGCGTTTCTTCCTGTCATAGCTATTTCCAAAAAATAGTTTTTGAATATGAATAAAAACGTGTTTATTTCTGGCCAGTTCCTAACTAAATGTTTGCACATATTCTTAGCTTGGAGAGTGGACTCACAGCCAACGAAGCCCTGGAAAAATCTAGTTATCTTCTCGTAAGTGGGAAAGATTTCTCTGGAGTTCTGTGAGTGTTTTTACAATAACCTAACTTAAAGCACTAGAATGGATTTCATATAATAGTCCCTTTGGCAAAGCGGGGCCAGTGACCCCCCATGCATGCAGGGGGTGTGAACGTAATGCGTAACGGGGTTCATATTATGTGAATGGATGCATTATGTGAAGCTTGTTACGCGACAATAAATAAACGATAATATCGGTCAGAAACCGAAGACTTATCGATCGAAAGTTAGGGGATCCCCAAAACAGAAACTGCGGTTTCGATTCGAAAAATTCTGCAAACCCGAACTAGATTGTTTTGATTAGTTTTAAGCCAATATCAGAAATGTAGGAAACAATAGCCAACTCCCCATGTCGTCAAAATACTACTCGAGGAAATACTTTTATGAAGAATTCTGCAAATCCGAACTGGATTGTTTCGATTAGTTTCCAGCCAATAGCCTATTTCTGTATTTACCAATCCTATAGTTTGTGTCAAATACAACGGCGCTAACCCAGGTTGCGACGGCTATTCAAACACAGCCTAGCGATATTTTGGTGAGGAATTCTGCAACCCCGAACCTGATTTAGGGATATGGACATTGCTTAAACTTTAAAGAGTAATTATAAGTAACGAGATATGATCTCGCGGCGTGTATCCTTCGCTCTGACTCAATAGTGTGGAAAATTTCTCGAAGGAAACTTGCGCATCGCGACGACGTCAAAGTTACAAGAGAGATATGGACAAGGCTCAAAGATTAATCACGAGATACGATCTAGCGGTGTGTATCCTTCGCTCTGACTCACTAGCGTGAAAACTTGCGCATCTGATACGCACACACACATTCAGCGCGTCTCGAAAATCTCTCGATTTGTGAAAATCCAGATCTCTTCATCACTAATTAATTATTAACTCGCTAATTATACGACATAATTCATCCAAAATAATTGGGTTTTTGGTCCAATAGGCTTTTGGTCCGAGATGTGATGAATGCACATGCAAAATTTGGAGCAGATTCAACCACGCCTTCGTGAGATATCGCGTGCATCTAACAGACAGACAGACAGACATACATACAGACATACATACAGACAAATACCTATCAATATACTTACCGATCTTAAGATCGATAAGTAATAAAATTATTCCTTGGGAAAGGACAGCCGATAAGTCGACCTAATCATATAAACACATAATGTGGTCCGATTACCGGCCATTTCGGAAAGGGGAATAGTTTCCATTTGTTTCAGATACCTTGACTCGATGGCGAAATAAGCAGTAACCCGACCCCAGTCTACGACGGGTGGCCCAGCAGTCCTCTTGCCCAATATTTTCGGTGCTTCCGAAGTATTCGTACCAAGATGGCGCTCAACTGAACATAGTATATGTACCATTTCAGGTTGTGCGTCATCTTAGTACGAATACTTTCGGAGCGCCATTTTTTCCTCTATGAGATTGAAGTCATTGAACAGGCGCAGAGTAATCAAGAGTGTGATTGCGAGTGTCAGAGTGTATTCCTAAAGCTTAGCTCGAAGTATTAACCGCCGAGGCCTTCGGATTTTTCTCAAATTTATACTACTACTTTATATAAGTAGCAAACCTCATGGTCATACAATTTCTCTATCGTTTAACAGATAAAGTCAGGAAATAAAGCTATGTAATCTTTAAATATGGGATGACGAAAAAGGAGGCCATTCCTAAATCTGCATACAGCAATATGGAGTCTAACAGTCACATTGCCATATCCACAAGATAATGAACTGCGAACCAGAACTTCGAAATATGTTGAGATTGTTTTCATTTTTTTTTTTAGTAAGGCGATAATCGACGAAGATGAAACTGATGCAGAGTGAGTGAAGAAAATATATTTTCAAAACGATAATTTCAAAAGCACCATGCTACTAATTTGTGTCCTGCAGCAATCAAATACTTTTCGAGTCGAACATTTCTTATGCTGACAATTCAAACTTGTAAAGTCCGTTCAATAACTTTTCTAAACAACTGTTTTAAGCTAGGGGAAAGAACTTCGTTGTGCTTCATGTAACCCGTGAGCATATAAAGAGTTTATTAAATGAGGTAAAAAAATCCTAAATAAACCAGGCTAACATATCGTCACGCTAATAACCAAATTGCGTAAGTCATTTTTAGCAGTTTTGAGAAAAACGTAAAAAACTTCCTAATGATATCGTTATGCCATTGAGAGTCAATAATTTGCCATGGTTCAATTTTTTGATCGTAGCCGGATTTAAGTTAATTTGTATGACGCAGTTAAGTGACGTCATAATGGCGCACTGTGACTTAGATAGAAATGTGTCTATGACTTGGGGACATACGCAATTTTGCAACTTTACTATATGCACCAGTCCTGAAAACTAAACATTCAAAAAACGAATGTAATCCTCAGTATCTACAATGTCTAATCCCCAAAATAGCTAATCAGTTTCATTTACATTATTTTTTATGTTTAAAAATATATATTTCATCAATATAACACGTTTTACACACCCACCGAAATAAGACTAAGATTAAATATAAAGAATAAAACAGCAATGCACCCAATATAAAAGCCAACCAAGGTGAATTGGACTCGGACAGTGAATATCACAAGTGCACGCCTTCCTATACTGTAGTATAAATTCAAATTAATACGCGCTAAGCTAGAATCCGAGATGCAAAAACTCGAAAATCCGTCGTCGTGGTTATTTTGCCTTTGTGACGTCACAATAGTCTTGCGGTAATAATAATAATTCATTATGACGAAACAATTGCACAAATGTGCATGTCATACTAAATCTCCATTTTTTTGAGTTTCAAAATTCCTAAAATAAAATCTGAGTTAACAGACAGGTGCGCAGCATTACATAAATACCTATTTTAGAAAAAACTCAAAATCGCCAAAAATGACTTACGCAATTCGGTTATTAGCGTGACGATATATTCATTACTGACTTCACAACATCTTTTTTTATTATTCTTATATTGTCGATATTTGCGATTTCCTTTATTTATCATCAAAACAAAGATAAAAACTTGAGCTCTCATATTGATGTGACATTCAGAATAAGGTTGCCTGATATAAAGATAGGATTTCATATTTATCTTATGTGAGAGGAAAGCCGATAACAGTTATAGGAAATGATTTAGTCCGAATACCATTAAAGTACACATGGAAGATATAAGGCGACTTTTCATATTTATTATATGGGAGGGGGAACCCGATAAGGCAGCGTTTCCCAACCTTTCTTGGTCGCGGACTGTTTTCTCACCGGACTCAAGGAGCGTTTATTGCAACCGTACTCTGTGTAAAGAAGCAATAAAACCGAACACAACATTAAAATTTTTTGCGATCTTGCGAATTTGTGATCGCCGTTAGAAAAATTATACTTTCTGATGTAAAGTTCCAGAAAGTACAAATTAAATTAGCACTTGTTAAAAATATATTTAAAGTTTAATAGTAAATCAAAAATACATATTCATCGCTTTGTTTTACTTTTAAGTTAATTGTGATGATTTTAACCTGCAATTGTGTTGACGAAGTAAAAGCAATACTACTCAGAAAATATCAATATGATAAAGTGCCCGATTATATTTTGATTTCATTCGTTTTTTTGTGAATTCGACAAATTTGAGCTGTTTGTACAACACTTACGGCGCTCCAGTACTTGTACGTACCAATGTGGAAATTAAGGCAAAGAATCCTAAGGAAAAATGCCCTGGTACGTATACCACGGTCGCACCCGAAATTTTACGATTTGCAATGTCCAAAAAAGCGTTTTTAATCGGTCGCGGATAATCATAAAACAAAACTTATGGTGTTATCCGTTTTATTTTTGGTATTTTGTATTGCCGCTTTTCAATTTAGAAAATTTGGGTTGCCACCATTAACACCTACAAAAAAATAATTCCTCGTTGTTCGAACTCGGGAACTCTATCGAAGCGTGTGCAGACTCGTGTTTTCGTCGGAACGTGTTTTCGTCACCTGTTACCAAATTTTCGAATAGTTAATTGCTATTCTAATAGTTGGATATTCGAATATATGCCAAGTCCTACTCATTAACCAGTAATTATTGACTCGAATAATGTTATGTGGATAAACTTGTCTTTTATGTTTTATATAAATTCTAACGTAAATCGTAACTTGGCTGATAGTTAAGTTTCGCAAAAACGTTTGCGGCCCGCAGTGAATTTCTGGCTCGTAGCGGACTCATTCAAACGCTTCGCGGACTCGGGTTGGGAAACCCTGCGATAAAGGATAATGATTTAGTCCGAAGACTCCGAATAGCAAACTACGCATGGAAGGTATAACTATAAGACGTCTTAAACATATGGCGAATGACCTCACGATCGTCTTTATATAAATATTCATTTCCTAGAGGCACCCTGGTCAAATACCACCTGGTTATTCTTGAATCAATCCAATCTGATGACCCTTCAATGATTGAGTCAATGTCATCTCTGGTCGTTTATCGAAACGTTTCGTTCATTTTGCGTGTGTGAATAGCATTATGTTTTCTGGTTCGATATAGCGGATAATCATGCACTCGTTTCTTTAAATATGCGAGCGAAAGTTACATTAGGATAGGAGAAGAAAGCCGACAAGACGGCTCAATCATATGACGAGCGACGGCCTCTCTCCTCCGGTTAGCTGTCCATGTGAGGTATGGGATTGTTTAGCCGGTTAATTGTTTTCGAATACATGGACTTGATGGTAGAGGAAGCCGTAACCGACCCCGCAGTGACGTGAACCACCCTGCGACGGCTAGAAGTCCTGCAATCATCTCGCACGTCTCAGCATGGGATGCGAACCCACGCAGGGTAATCGGAGAGATGCGGTGACGAGCGTACTCCTAACGCTCAACACAATGAACAACTTTAACACACTGAAAGAAAGGGAGAAAATTGAAACTATTTTGCGTGAATTTAAATGAAACAGAAGTACAATAATAGGTTACCGGTAAGTGTACTGGATGGAATAAGCCGGCTCTAGTCGTATCCGAAATACGTTACCGATATTGACTCCGTGTGGCAGTGCAATCTTTTACTCAAGTTTTCTCGGCTCTCAGCTGTGTTTCTTCGGTGCAAAAAAGCTTTGGGAACGAAACCTGTCTATTGGGAACATCGGAATTGAACATTTGAACATGGCTGACACTCTGGAATGGTTATTTCGGGAGCTATTATTACAAAATATTGTCTTATTTTTGGTCGGTGGAATAATATTTGGTGCGTCATTGTTTGTGCAGAAATTCGGTCTTCTTTATCAATTTTTTCACAAGGTAAGACAAATGGTTTTAACTTCAAAATTGATATAAGGTGTAGATTTGAGAATTTAATATATTAATTACAGATTTTCAAAATAAATGCTGACAATTTACTTTTTATTGGCAAAACGGTCTGTACACCGGTACGGTACCATATTACAGTATTATGTTATGGATCGGCAATGTCTGAATGGGGTGCAACTTGTTAAGCGCTAGGAATACGCTTGCTATCATTGGATGAAGACAATTACATAATTATGTTGGAGAGGTTTTCTGACTTATTCTCATTGTGCTGTTGTGGCTCTCATTATTCAGTTATTCTTTAAATTTTGATCGTTTTCATTGAAAATTAAGCAATGACTGGAATCTGGGAATTTGAAATGTTCAGCCTATGTTTCAGTACACTGATTTCATTGTTTCCAGTAATCACTTTGCAAAGTTTAGGTATTTCTAAACAAAATAGCCTATATATTTGTTAGTTTATCAAGACAAATTGTCAAGCAAACCTTCCAAAAAGCTCGCAATCTTCATAAATCGCAAACTTCATTGGAATGAGAAGTATTTTCAAATTGAAATTGATATCATTATAAAAATATGAAGCTTGCTATATATATCAGTATATTGCTGAAGTATACATTATTCACTATTGCGCCCCACTTTTCAGACGTCAAAATTGAAAGTCCCAGCTATCAGCGTTAACTTGGTTTTTACCCTACTCTTGTTGATGTTGATATTTTTAAATACATACTTGATTTTTTTTTTTAATTTTAACTTGTGTTGTTCTTATGCGACTCTTTAAACTTCAAAGTTTGAAATTTGGCTCTAATATAAAAAAGTGGAGAACTACTATCTACAGTTTCAGCATCTTTCCTTTACCCGAATCAATATGAAATCTCATCTAAATATGAAACCCATACTACAGCTAATTTTAACTTACCGATATGTTCTTTGTTAGTTTGCCATTCAAAGTATGGTACTCCCGTAGTTTGTGTACCGGGAAAGGGGTTAGGCCATAATTTTATTCCGATTTCCCTTATTTTAGTTCTATTACGAGTTTGGGGACTGTTTGTTTTTGCCAGGTCAATATCCTCCCTTGTCCATAAGCTTCAGTCTCTTTACACAACTTGATGTAAAGTAGGCGAACATGATTCGTTACCTCCATATTGAAACACACATTTCTGGAGCGCCGTATATTCAATATGTTTACAGGTAGAAAAGGAGTCCAAGCGTCACGGTGGGGAACTCGTAGCCCAGGTTTTAAAAGATCATGGAACGCAATTCCTTTTTACGCTCGTTGGAGGCCACATCTCACCCATTCTAGTAGCTGCAGAGAAATTGGGAATTAGAGTCGTCGATACAAGACATGAAGTAACAACTGTATTTGCTGCAGATGCTGTTGCCAGATTATCAGGTTCTGATTAGATACTTGAATAAGATAAGATGAAATTTTAGGATTGCATTTGCCATGGTTATTTTGGATAAATATGGTCATTTGGGACTACTGTGACAAAAATAAGAGGGAAAAAATCACAAATGTAAATTATGTATTTATTGTTAAATCCTTTGAACATCAGAAATAGTCTCTTTTACCTCTTTTTCTTCAATTTATCAAGGCCGCATTGGTGTAGCTGCAGTAACTGCTGGACCGGGCCTCACTAACACTGTGACCGCTGTCAAGAATGCACAAATGGCTGAATCCCCTATTCTCCTTATTGGAGGTGCAGCACCTACATTGCTCAAAGGTAACTAAACATACCATATTTCTCAATGTACAGGGTGTCCATAAAGTCCCTTTACAATTTCCATTTTGGTAAGAATTCAGTTCTTAATATTTCTAAACCAGATTTGTTGTTTTTCAATAAGTAATCGTTTAAGTATTTTTACTTCATTTGATACATCTGTGAGGGCCAAAATAATATATGGTATCGAAAAATATTGTTGAAAAACATTTTTTTGAGATTTCAGTAATTTTGAATAATTTTGTTTATTAAACAGGCCGAGGAGCTCTTCAAGATATTGATCAAATGAGTTTGTTCAAACCACTTTGCAAGTTTTGTGCTCGAGTCACGAGAATCCGAGATATCGTACCAACTGTAAGGCAGGCGATAGCTTGTGCTCAGTCTGGAACTCCTGGTATGTGTATATTGTTAATAATTAATTAATAAAGTAAAGTATTATTGAAAACCTTGCAACTAAGTTGATTGTGATTTTGAATTCAAGGCTTTAGCAATATCAATGTGATTATTTACATTTTTGATATTCAGTTTTGAGAATTTTTCTACATTGTTATGGATTTAATTATCGCTATTCGCTTACGACTCCCATATGCTATACCAGGGTGGTCCAAGGCTGTTGGCTCCGCGGGCCACAAAATTATTTTTGCATTTTTCGCGAGCCACAATAGTGCAATGACAAACAAACACTTTTATTGTGCAAACGCATACCAGTAGTTGTCAGACATAGCCATTCCATGCTAATAGAATCCGCATTCGGTTTTTAGTTTTCTATGATGCCTATAATATTAGCATATATCCCGACCAAAGATAGAGAGCCAGATAATAATTTAGATTGCCAAGCACATCATTCAACTTCGCTAGTTGCCTCAGGCCCTCAGCTAGCCATTAGACTAGTCAACCCAGTGACATTAGGGATGTAACAATATGTCAAAAGATTTTCCTGATTAATTTTATTACAAAACATTTTATTACAAGCTAATCCCATACCTGACATAGACTGATAACTAGACGAAAGATCGGAGCATGCCATATTATTAGGCTGTGTCCTAGCAGCTTTCTTCTCCAAAGTAAATATGAGCATCTAATTCGATACGAGGTACTGGTCCTAGCATTACAATAATTGTTTTTCTTTTGCAGGCCCAGTTTTCATTGAGTTTCCTATTGATGTTTTGTATCCGTATGACTTGGTAAAACGTGAACTGGCATCCAGTGGGGGATCAGGTCAGTTGAGTCATTTATTAGGAGTTCATGAGTTTATTTATCATGAGTATTTAGTATTATGATTTATTTTAGAATTTTAATTTATATGAATGCAAATTTTTAGATTCATTTATGGGTAATTTTTTCATGGTTGCTTATTTTATTATGAATCCAAAAATAGAATGTTGTAAAAAAAGAAGAAAATTGTAAAAATATCAGAAGCTTTGATTATTTAAATTTATTTTTGACATAAATTAAAGTTTAACATTTGGGAATTGGGATGTCATATGTCCATTTGGGCAGTTCCTAAAATTAATATTTCATATATTGAATCGGCATGTTTTCACTTAATAAAATTTCAATTCGATAGTGACTTCACTGTGGAAATGAAAAATTTATTATGGTAAAACGGCAATTTGGAAAAACATCTCGTATAGCTTGATTTTTTTTCCTGGACCCAATTCTTCTCGCATTCATATCTAAAGTTTACATTATCACGTTATTTACTCATGCACATCATTATTTATTATTATTACAGCAACAGGACCAAAATCCCTCCAACAAAGAATAGTGCAATGGTATCTCAATAATCATCTCTGCAACTTATTCGCTGGAGCATTCGAACCTCGAGATACCGGCCCTATTCCAATTCATTTTCCGAGAGCATCGCAAGATCAGGTAATGTCGTGTCTAAAAATATGCACATATAAAATTGGATCGACAAAGCCGAATAGCTTGGGTTACCTTTTTTTTTAAAACCAGTAGGCAGTAGCTCCTAATATATTAGTGGCTTATCGTAGAGAGTCTTGTATGGAGTGAAGACAAATAAAGTGTCAAATAGAAAAGTGTCAAATAAAAAGCGAGATAGCGGTCAGAGACTGCCGACTTATCGATCTAGCAGCGAGTATCTGACTCAATAGTGACACCGCTCGTCCCATCACTAATTAATTAATAACTCGCTAATTATACGACATAATTCATCCAAAATCAATAGGCTTCTGATCTGAGATATGATGAATGCACATGCAAAATTCGGAGCAGATTCAACCTCGCTTTTGTGGGATATCGCGTGTATCTAACAGACAAACATACAAATACCTATCAACATACTTACCGATCAAGATCAATAAGTATTTAAGTACCTGTCATTAGGGATGATAAATTATACATTACTCAAAATTCTATACCCATAATGTGTTAAACACTAATTTTGTAGAGCATCTTTCATTAAGGACATGAACAATCCCAAATGGGAAAGTTATGCTTGATGTATTGATTATGTTCCATTCTTTTCGAAATAGGTTCATATTAATTTCATGTCAAATTTCATAAAGATTATTTTATTTCAGGATTGATTTGAAATATTACAATATTTGAAATACATAAACTCACTTGAACTAATGATTCGTGAATAGTCAAAAATCGATGCCGAAAAGCCAGCAACACTTGTTTGTTTTTTTCAGATCCAAAGTTGCATTGAGCTTGTAAGCCGAGCAAAGAAACCGGTGTTTGTTCTTGGAAGTCAAGCAACATTACCTCCTGTCGCAGCTGATGACCTGAGAAGTGCTTTAGAACAAATGGGAATCCCTTGCTTTCTGGGTGAGTAGACAGACTCTAATGAGAGTGTTAGAATATGCCTTGAAAGTCTGATTGATGGCAAAATTGGATTCTTTGCAAATACTACCAACCTATATGGATTATACTGTGGGGTCCATCGAAAAAGACTCTACCTTACCCACGACAAGTCTTATAGGAAACCCAATCCTACATTAAAAAATTTATAGACTCTAGTCAGGGAAAACATTACCTTTGTTAAACATATTATTTTGTTAGTGCTTTAGTTGAACGTTTCTTTGCTATTAATGATTGAAACGCAAACCATGCTTTTTAGGTGGAATGTGCAGAGGATTGCTTGGTAGAAACTCGCCGATACATATTCGACAGAACAGAAGAGCAGCTTTGAAGGTTAGTCGGTCTATTTTCTACTTCATTCTTTATGGCGTGTGTGAGGCGTCTTTCACTTCGAACAATGCTAAGTAAAAGCAGTCACAGATAAGCAAGCAGCGATATCATTGAAATAGCGAAATCTTTCAGGTTTGGCATTGTCTAAGCAATTTATTATAACCTGATGTGGTGGAAGACATAGATTTTAATAATTGAGCCGGATGCTAATATGTCATATGTTCGAATACATTTATTTGACAAAAATGTCTGTAGCTGTCAGTCTTTTACACTGAACAAATCTCTGTATTTTCTTTGTACACTTTTATGTAGGCCACTAATCTCACTATATTTGGGAAAAACTGGCGGTCACAGGATTTAAACGATTGTACCTGATAATAATGTTCCGAACACATTTATGTTAACAAATATGCATGTAGGCCTTAGCATGGCCGTGGTGACTATTCTATCAGTAATATGTGTACTACTACTCATATTAAATAAATGCACGGTAATGATTCTGAGTTGGTCAGATTGTTTAGTCTGAGTCATCACCTCTGCTCTATATTCATTGCGGTATGATTGTGCAATAAAAAAGAATGTCTATGTTCGTGTCTTACAGGTGTCGCCACTTGATAACCAGTATTGGTTTCCTCGCGACTCCTTTCACCCCGAATTATCCGTTTTTGCTTCTTTCTGCATTCTTTTTTCATTCAGTATATTTCATGTATGGTCAAAACAAAACATGAACAAAACAATGTAATCTAGCAACGTTTCCAATTTCTTTGCATATTCAATATATTATTTTGTTCACACCGGCTATGCTCTATATTTCCTTATTAAAAAATGGTTCTAAGGTATTTAAGAGCATACCCTAACCCTATAAACCTAACTGTTTTTATCACAAATACTTGTTTTACAGCAAAGTGCTCTTGCGTTTCCTATGCGACAAAATTTCCTGCAGTGAATTTTCTTGACACATTGAAAAATATACGTGGTTGCAATCATGCACCATTTGTAAAAGCAGATTCTGGCGCAAGTCAGACTCTGGTTATTTCAAATTACACAAAACATAAATTGCCACCCTTGGTGTTCTCGTACAATCACTGAAGTTAACCATCTACTTTATAAATCACAGGAGGCAGACCTTGTCATCTTGGCAGGAGCGGTTGCAGACTTCAGACTTGGGTACGGAAAAGTTTTGCCGAGGAAAGGAAAGATTATTGCTGTCAATAGAAATAAGGTAATGTTTAAATCAAAGGCTTGAAAATTAAAAAATATTTCATTTAAATATCATGGTATTTATGTCTCCATATCTCACATTGAATGAATACCTAATTCGTTGATTTTCACAAATTCTGAGTTAAAATTTCGAATTCTCATGAATGGGAGTTGGAATTTCAGACTTTTTATTACTTATTGAATAAATACTTTTCACAGTGATCATCAAAGTCATAATCCCAAATAAAACTAAAGAAAAACGTTACGTTGACTAAGTGTTTCTTTGCAGCCTATCAAAAAAGGCCTTCATGCATCAAAGTTTTTTTAACCCAAATTTGATTTCATAGTTGGAGTCAAATTCCGATTGCCATTGAGGAATGGAAGTCAAAGTTTTTCTTAACTCTTTCAGTGTTTGAGTCAAAATATTTTCAACCCAGACTCCTAGTCAAAAATAAATATGAAATGCTTCGAGCATAAAAAAAATCAAGGATATCATTAAACTTCAATTTTGTCTCACAGGATCAATTATACAAGAACTCTGACATGTTCTGGCGTCCCACCCTTGCAATACAAGCGGATCCTGCTACTGTGATTCTTGCAATTGCAGAAGGGTTGAAGGAAGGATTCAATTGTGCAAAAGACTGGCCCGAGAAACTGAAAAAGGGTGAGATATGATGCTACATGAGGGTAGCAGAGTTTTAATCAAATTCAATTTAGATATTTAATTATTAATAATTTAGAATATGATATAATTGTGATGTTTTGCATTAGATTATAAGTGGTTTAATTTTGCTTTTATTATCATCCGTGTTCCCTTCCAATGACTCTCTTTTCTTAAAAAATGCATTATATTGTTATTAATGCCATTCTATCAGTTATATTATGGAGCACACTCACAGCCACCTTCAACTTGAATTAATATAGTCATCATGAATATTACTCAGCAAACGTCTTTGCTCGTGGCCCCTAGAAGGACTAAGGGCCCAGTTTGAGAAACTCCGGACTAACCTAAAACCTATTTATCAGGTGATGATGAAAAGGAAGCCACAAACTTAAAGAAAGCTGAAGACCCAACTGATGTTCATTTGAATCCTCTGAAGGTGAGTGAATTAATATCGTATACATGTTTTCTCAAAGCAAGGTCTAAATCTACCGTTTCAATTTTATTTTGAAATAGATAAAAAGTCTCTCGTCTGCTAACCCAGACGCTAAATTCACTCTAAAATAGCTCATTTTAATATCACCTTTCGGCTACAGCAGCGGTTCCCAACATTTCATGTCTCGTGGCCCCCTTCCATAGGTTTTTAGCACTCATGTCCCCCTGTCAATCATTCCAGTGGTATTTGTAGTTTTATTAATTGCTAGATTCCAAATCCCATTTTGTTCAAATAATTTATTCTCAATAAAGTTTTTCACCTGTGAAATGACCTGATTGATCAATGAAAGTGGGAAGAATGTGAAGTTTTTTGTCAAAGTAAAATCAGTTTTGGGCTTAGCATTATAGTATTTAGTTTCCCTCACAACTGCTTTGTGTCCCTAGAGATAAATAGGATTTTTCCCCCCAGGATAAATATGAATATCCTGCCCAATTCTTCAGAAAGAGCACATTATAATATCACTTTTTGACAAAAATTTCCACAAATTGTCAAGACGCACACCATGTAATATTTTTCTCTGACGTTATTTTGAGATAAGTTAGTCATTCAGACGTTAAATCGTGATGTATTTCCTGTGAACTAAATCATTACTGATTTCATAATACCACAGCTAATTTGCAATTGATTGCCCACAAAAATACTAAATATTTAATGGCCCTGCCTTAAATTGGAGCAGTGTTTTGCAATTTTTTTTTTAAAAGTTTGCTGTAGACATCACTAGGCTTGCACGTAATTGACAAAAATCAATTCCGTAATTACGGCCAAATCGATTACGTAATGACCCCGTAATTGCGATATTTTTTTTCACACTTTTAAACCTATCATAACAACCAATTTAATCCACTTCTATTCCGAATGGGATATCGACAGTTGGGACAGTTTGGTTTTCATATTTCCGCCAGTACTACACGCCGGCGACAGATGCTAAAGACAAATATCGAGGAGTGAATTCAAATTAATTTTATTCTGATTTTTATCTTTTGTGTTAGCTTTGATTTTCCTTTATCAACTTTATCACCCAATTTTATGCGATCAATTTTATTATTACCAACACTGGTAAGTGGTAATATTTATGAAACGATAGTTGACTTTTTTAAAATCGTATTAACGTATTAATACGAGTTTCGTATTAAATAAAAATTCCGGGTTTCTAATTTATAAATCAACGACGAGCGTTTTTTTACATTATCCGACTTTACTACCTAGTTAGCATTTTATAATAATTATTGATGCCGACTTATTGACGATATTCCGATTACCATGCTTCTTTTTACATTAAATCATTTCGCGGCCTAAATGTTATAACATTATTTGCGATAAATTTAGATCAAATATTAATTATTTGCGCATAATTTAAATACCGTACTTATATGACATGCCTTCTCCGAAAATACAAAGTTTTATCGCAAAACAATGCATTTTGTGACATTTATTTTGCACTCACGAAAATATTAATTTACTTTTCTAACTCAAGTCGACAATCCTATCGGCTAAGATCGACACAAGTTTGGTCGAGTGCCGGTGGTATTTGAGTCGACGATAAATCAAAATAAGTTGCCGCATTTGGTAAAGACTTAAAGATTTTGTAAAGACATATTTGGCCGAAATAGTGCGAGGCATTGTGAAAACAAGGCCAAGTACGGACAGATATATAACGATAAAACCGGTAACAGAACATCAAGATTTTGTAATAGAAAATGGATCTCGCGCAGAATAAACATGGGAAATCCCGTCTTTTTGTTGTTTCTCTGCCGTCTGAGTCGCTTTACCGATGCCGAAAAGACTAAGTTGCGTTGGTTCATTACGCAATTTCTCTTCCGTCGTCATATTGCTGTTTGATAAGCGCGACATTAATTATCACGGCATTTACAAATAGACCATGTTTGGTAAGTTGATCTCTTGCATTCTTTAGTCATTTCACCCGAAGAAGTTGAAACCAGGTGTGTTGGCGTCCATCGGTCTCAACACAATTCTATGCCATATCTATGCTTAATATGTATATTTGCCATGCTAGATAAGTTGATAATAGGTTAGTAAATGGCAACGCGTTATGCCTTCTCCATCTGCGTAACAAGAGAGAGAAAAACGGCTGCGAATACCGGAACTCTAACAAACTTCAATTTTTTACAATCGACGGAATTGACTGCTCTGAAGAGAGCTCGTTTCAATCGCGAAAGCGCTCGACCAATAATTACGAATTTACGTAATTCGTAACTTCGCTTCCGTATCTCGAAATAATTCCGTAAATCCGTATATTACGTGCAAGCCTAGACATCACAATTGAAGCGGGTCCGCTTGTTTAGAAAACAAGGCCCGTTTGCCGACAGTTGGGAGACAAATTGCACCATATAAAAAAAACTGAAGAAAACAGGGTGTCAATGAGGTCTTAAAATTTTTAAAAATTGCAAAGGGCATTTATCGATGACCATATATTTATTTGACCTTCGCAGATGTGTTAAATGAGGTAAAATACTTGAACAATTACTGATTAAAACAGCAAACCCGGTTAAGATATATTGAGAACCGACTCCATAACACAATTGAAATTGTAAAGAGACCTTATGTCATTTATATTCCATATTCGAAAATACTGTCGAAAGTGTTCTCTTCGTTTTCATGCTCTCATTTGTGTTCCAGGTTCTCCATGAATTAGAAGATATTCTACCTGAAGACAGCATTCTTGTTGCTGATGGAGGAGACTTCGTTGGATCTGCTGCATATATTGTCAGACCTAGAGGTCCATTGAGGCAAGTTTTACTCCTGTTAGTTATGTTTCATCCCATATGGCAGATCCTGATGTTAATTGTATTTCTAGCAACTGTCTTCTCAAATGCTAATCATGATTGGTAGGGTGTGATGTTATTGCTATGCATGATTGACCACGACCAATCAGCTTTGAAGGCCATTAGGCCTCTGAGTTGGGTACTGGATAAAGGGATCACTTCAGCTAGTGTGTATTTATTTATCAATTATTAAGTACAGTAAGCGAATTTCTCAAACTGGTAATTGTTTGAATAACTGCTTAATTGAGAAGTCTGAAAACAAATAACTAATCACATATCCGACATGGACTGATAACCAGACAAGAGGCTGTGGTTCACCATATGATTGAGCAGTCTTTTCGACTTTCCTCTTACCAAGGGTGAATATGTAAATTCTATCCTAGAAACCTGCAGCAAGCTTCATTAGCGTTGATCTACTGTAGGTCAATTTGCCTTCCCCAACATGGCTTAGCATGGATTTATTTTTTGATTTTGGTAATTGAGCTCATTTTATATGGTAAAATGGGTACTCCCGGAGGATGTGGAGATGGCGGACACCAGAACGTAGTATGTGTACCAGGTTAAGGTTAGGCTATACTTTCAGGTACAAATACTACGGGTGTCACTTGGGCTAGTCCCCAAATTCGTATTAGAACTAAAATGAGGAAAATTGGTCGTAAATATGGCCTTATCCTAACCTGGTACACATACTACGTTCCAGTGTCCGTCATCTTGGCTCACTTACTTCGGGAGTAACCATAAAATATATACTAACATTTGGTAACCAAGAGCATTTGTTACACTCATTTTAGATGGTTAGATCCAGGTGCATTTGGTACACTTGGGGTGGGAGGAGGTTTTGCTCTCGGTGCAAAGCTTGTTCGTCCAGAATCAGAGGTTTGGATCATTTATGGAGATGGTTCGCTAGGATACAGTGTCGCTGAGTTTGATACTTTCACTAGACATAAGGTTTGTTAAGAATTTTGGTGTATTATAGACTCCACCACTGGGGGTTATAATGGTTCAAGTTAAGCAGATTCGCATACAAACATAAGTTCATGATTTACTGAAAAATAGGCAGGCAAGTCTTGCGGAATTTCATATAGTGTAATACACTTTTGATTAAACTCAAATAATAACTTGTGTGAGGTATCAGGCACAGAATGCAGGGAATAATTAAAAATAATTTCCTTGATTGGTCCATGAGTTGCGAAGAAAATCAGGTTCACGGGCACAGAATGCAGGGAATAATTAAAAATAATTTCCTTGATTGGTCCATGAGTTGCGAAGAAAATCAGGTTCACGGGCACAGGATGCAAGGAATAATTAAAAATAATTTCGTTGATTGGTCCATAGGTTGCGGAGAAAATCGGGTTCTTCTTAATACCAACAATTTTGCGAAATGATATATAGCAGGGCTATTTTTTAACGGATATCGGCATACAACACTTTAAAAATATTTGGGTTCAGCCTTTCCATAAATTATATTTGGGGCATCCTGTAACGTGTGCTTCCTCGTCCTGCCAATGGTTATTAACTAATCAGAATTGGTTTGATTTCATATATATATTCAAACATATAAAAGTCATTTTATAAGGGGAAACTTCAAAAGTGGGAATAATAATCAAAAAAAAAAAGAGCAGTCCGAATTAAATACTCGTAAGGTCCGGATCAGACTGAGGTCTGCCAGTTGAGTAGCCCTGATCTATAGGTCCACTTCCTGTCGGATAATTTCAATTGTTTTTCCTTCCAGCTGCCTGTGATCGCCTTGGTGGGGAACGATGCCTGTTGGACTCAAATATCTCGGGATCAGGTTCCGATATTCGGAAGCAATGTTGCATGTGGACTGTTATTCACAGGTGGGTGGGATTGGATTTGATTCAATAAAGTTGAATGAGATGTGAGAGACACAGCACTTTTACCGCAAAGCAAGAGTATTAAAATTCAAACCAGACTCCAACAAAGAAATAGTCTGTCACAAATTCTAATGTATATCACTGCAGAAACTCAAAACACTAATATCTTTGTATATTTTATTACATTGAGTGATGGCCTTTGAGTTGTTTGATTTATACCTGATTTTGGAACATCACTAAGAACTAATGAATAGTACACAAAACTTTGGGTGCTGCCAAAGTATTCGTAGCAAGATGGCACACAACTTGAACCCAGTATGTGTACCAGGTTAGGGTTGTTTAGGTCGTGCGTCATCTTGGTACGAATACTTCCGGAGTGCCAAACTTTGGAACATACTCCATATTTGTCATTTTTGTATAGTGCATATGTATGATATCTTACTACCTTGCTCAAAATGGAACCAAAATAGAATCTTGTGTTCTGTAACTTATAACTGTCATTTGCCTTGATATTAACCCTTTCCGTGCGGTAGGCACGTATACGTACCAACGACAAAAGTCGCTAGATTGCGGCGGGTACGTTGATGTACTCCACTGTTTTATTTAGCAATCGGTCGCAAACTGTTGGTCTAGTTTTCCAGGGTTTTAGTTTATTGATAAGAAGTCTTCTTCGAGATTAACATAAGCGACGGTAAATCTTGCTTTCGTTTACGACGGAAATTTTATTTGCGGCGGAACGAGGGAGTGTTTTTGAAATTTATGCAAATTTCGGTGTTTTTTGGGTGGTAATAGAAGATATATGATCCCTTCCATCTACCAAAGTATTTTGAGTTAGATCACGAAATTGTTACAGCAATATTATGCTATTGTTTGCCAACCATGAAGCGGTAACAGTAAAGGATTTAGCAAATATTTCTATTTTTTATCAAGGTTTGAAGTTTCAACTCTCAAGAAAAAAAAATGCCCTTTTTCTATCCGGTCCGTGACTCAGACCACCACTTCTAAAAAAACTTTTTTTTTAATCGCCAATTGCAAGCTCTTTACATAAGCTTTCCAACGAGCCGTCAGAGGATCATTGGTTTTTCGTTGGTCGATCGATTAGTTGTGGGGGTACAAATGCATAAAATCGGCGTAGCAAATACGATTATTTAATAAAAAATAAAAATCGCATGGAAAGGGTTAATTGTTCCAGATGCATTGGTTCAAAGGAAGCCAAAAGATACCAGTGGTTACATAGTCAAACATTTTGATTGACCCTTACAAAGTAATGCTAAACAGTATTTCATTACTACATATATTTTTATTCCAGAGTATGAAAAGGTTGCTATTGGTTACGGAGGTCAAGGGTTACCACTAGGTCGTGGTGATGACATCAGAGCAACATTGACAAAAGCTCAGGAAATATGCAAAGAAGAAGAGAAACCCGTGCTCGTGAATGCATTGATCGGCAAAACTAATTTCCGAGAGGGTTCAATCTCAGTGTGAAAGGATACGGATGATTGGTTTTCAGAATAATTGAACCGTGACTGATTTTAATAAAATATTTATCTGAACTATGCTGCTATATAGCAAATATATTACTATCATTATCAGGGTACATGATTTTGTTAAAGTAATCCCAATCAGAAAAATTACGTCTGTATATTTCTAAGCCTTCAAATCAGAAACAATGAAATATGGGACCTCATGATACAACAGACTGCTTGATTAAATTACAATTTTAAACTGTGTAACTGAAATTCGGGACCTTAAAAAATTGAACCTAATAATCTACATCTACTCGTGTAATAACGTTCCAGATTTTTCGATTCTCAGTTGTTTTTAACTATTATTTTCCAAATTTAAGGCTCGTTGAATGAAGTTTGAGTCTATTAACCATGTGGGTTTTCAATCCATGCTTTATGATCGCAAATATGTCCCTGATGGTTGTCACATTCCAGTCATTACTTATGCAATTATCCAATTTTACAGTGTTCCATTCGTATATGTGTTTTGTATGTAGGTACTTTATTTGCAATTTTATGTTGTTCAAATCTCACTTAAAATGCTCCCTAAAAACGTCTCACCTGGAATTTTCCTAAACTACCCATTTTGCGCGCTCTTGCAGCAATTTTATGATGTTTTTCAAACCTTGGTCAAAATGCTCCTTAAAAACGGCTCTCCTAGAATTTTCTTAATTACCCATTTTGTGTTTGTACACCACAGTATCAATTCTCAACAGAAATTACTTGAGCCATGGGCATGCAGATTTCCTCCAATTCATTCCTAACAGGACTCTTGACCATGATCTGAATCGGACACTCTAGTAGGCTAACTATGGTATTTTCTTGCGATATGATTACTTGCTTGATGAATCAAGTTTCTGTGTTTTCTGAGATTTACACCCTATTGTTAATTTGTCCAATAAATGTCAACATTATTAGCATCGACCATTATTGAATTAAGTACTCTATCAGCCTTGTTGTATGTTTAACTCGAATGAAAATCCATAGTGCTGTTATAATTATGACAGCTAATGCTGTTCGAGAAAGGTATTTGGATTCGGATAATCTAAATTATGTTTTTTTTAAGCTATGAATTTGTCCAGCAGCGTTTTTGGACAACCTTGACACTTATTAGTGTCATCGACTTTTGTATTTATTATATAACGCAAATGCAGTGTTTGTTGCTCAGATTTACTTTGAAACTTCTTCGGCCCAACATCATTGGTAAAACCAGACAAAAGTCTCAATTGAAAAACGACAACTTAATGTGGATAGTCCTCAAATCGAACATTGACTGTTAATCGGACGAAAGATAGTGGTACGCCATGTGATTATGCCACCTCATCGATTTTCCTCTCCCTTGGGATAAAAATGATATTTTATCTGAATGGAATTGGCTATTAGTCAAGTAGAATCCTGTGTTACGGTGTCCATAAGAAAATCCAGCTTGCAAATATTGAAACTATTTGGGGTCAAGATATCTGGAGTGTTTGCCATTTGGCCCTCCAGCACTGATAATTTCTATTTTTGACTACAATGCCTCGATGATTCTAGACTCGTTATGGCCTTGTTCCAATTTCAATTACTGGTTACAACAAAACTTAGCCTGAAATAACCCTACAAAAGACCTACATCCCTCCCCTCTTAATGGAGGCACAAAGGATCAGTAATATTGGATATATATAATTATGGAACACAACTGAATAGATCGTCAACTACATTAATAATATATTGGTAAATGATATATAATGACAACAGGGATAGCGAACAAATGGTGGCCTTTTTTACTGAATGGGTCAAAACTTACATTTTTATTATGGAAAGGAATGTGGGTCGTATTTAATTAATGAGAAACTTGACGTTGCATGTTTACCTCATCCCGTCCATTTCTGGTACTCGATTTTTATAAATTCGTATGCGAAACAGAGATTCACGTACATATGAATTATCGAAAAGCTGCAGTAACATTTTTGCACAATAAAAAAAAATTGTAAACCACTCTCAGCGAATTGCGGGCTTCATTCGTATTGAAGTGACTCTTACCTTACTCTTTGTTATAATTTCAAATTTATGTAGTCGTTAATGACTAGACATTTTGTATCTACAGTTGCGGTAGTTCACCTATCGCCAGGTCAATTTAAGACCAGTTTGTCATTTTTTTGTTTGCATTGATTCATTGGATTGCATTGATTAGTGGATCATTGGTTCGCCATCCCTGATATAGAATAGAGTATATTTCTGAATTGTATGTCTCTCTTCTTATACATAACTGCAATTATTTTTTACCGCCGGGAAATCTGAAAATTATTAAAAAAGGTATTAGTTAGAAAAGTATTAATTGGAACATCACCAAGAGAGATCAACAGAAGCAGTTGTATATATGTATATTCACATACTTAGGATCCAATTTTTTTAGTAGGCCATCCAATATATCTCTTTGATTCTCTATTATTTCCGTCTCTGAGGACCCATCGCTGAATGCAAATTGTCTGATTAACAAGAAATAGATTAGGTACTATAATAAACCTGTGGGAGGGCAGATATTGTTATTTTGAGACACAATAGTAATTTTGAAAACTACTGCTTAAAGAGCAATAAGATTTCGCAATGGTGAGATCAAAGGCCAATGGAACAAATTTCAAGTCACTTCGTTGTAATACACAACACAACGCCTGTAATAAATGTCATTTTCAAATCACAAATTGGTAAATACGCTTACCGGTTGCTTGCTCCTTCAAGTTGTTTCAGGGTATCGTCGATAATATGCTTGGATTTTTTTAACGCGTCGCTTTTTGAGTATCCTATCTTCTCGCTGATAATATATGCAAAGTTTTCAGTCAGATTCGAACTCGAGAAATTTTCAAAAGTTGAATATTCGATCCAATTTCGAATTTCTTATTAAACAGTCGTTTGTTCGATGAAAATCAGAAAGAATAATTTCGAAAGGCTCTCTCAACTGCACTCATGAAATAGAAAAGATTGCTGGAGCCCTCGTGGGAACTCAGCGCAGTTCTCGAACAAGTGCGTTACGGTTTCATTCATCGCTAAAGTTCATATATCTTAGAATGATCACTTGGTTATCTAATTGGCGTCACAGAGATGTTACTACGTACAGTCGAGACGTATTGCGTAAGATAACAATTACGGAATTGCTTCTGATAACGTTCTCAGCAGAACATCTGTCGACGAGTTTCGATAAAACTTCGAAAGAACAAAAAACGAAAGTGTCATTTTTCAATGACCCAATCACTAAGCTGTTCACTGTATCCAATAAAGCAATAAAACCAACATCTATTCATATATTAACACGTAAATTGTCTAATTCCGACGTAAAGAAGTAATTTACTTTTGCGAATACACTCCAAAGATTATTTTTGAATCTAGAATACATTACATATTTTAGCACCCAATGGATCAAACACTGTCGAATTGTGCCCTGTGGAGCATGTTCTAATGAACCCCATTGCATTTTTCCCCATGGGCATGGGCAACATTTTCAGACTGCCTCATGTCAAGATTGGGAAGCAACATTCACTCGTCAACGTCATGTATATTTCACAGTAGACCAAAGCTAAAAATGACAGACATAGGTTTGCCCCGCTGGAAAGGCTAAAGAAGAATGATATGGCGAAATTTTAGTTTTAACTCCCCAAAACCAATTCCATCTCATAGCTGGCGTCGCCTTGCACGACCGCTGTACGTCTGTGTGGGGGCGTCGTGATTCAAACACCGAAACGCAATAACTGATTCCGGACATAATAGAATATGAAAGCTGGTTATTCGTTAAACAAACGGGGCCCCAATGGGATATATACTCTTCAACAAACAGCAATATTACACGCTGGGTAGCGCTGAAACGCACTATAATGCGATAAACATTTGATTCAGAAGTCGCATTAGGCTTGGTTAGAAGCTCGAAACAAGTATCCGATCAATTTCTGACTTGGCGGAAGAGTATGGGCTCTTGTGAAACTATCGACGAAGAATAGACGTCACTCGAAAAATACAATGGTACTTATTTTACTCGAGTCTCTCGATGGGTCAATGTTATGAGTTGAAATTCACTCCCCGGATTCCCCGCCCGCGTTATGAGTTACCTATGATTTTCGCTATTCCTTGCATAAAAATATTATAAGTACCAAATATTTCCAACGATTGAGATAGTTTAGGCAGTGCGTGATCACTTTGGCGGAGTGGACTTCGAATAATCCTAGAGAGACATTTGAGACCTTCCAAGAAATACATACTTTATAATTTTTTTTGAACGAAATAAAGTTCATTGCGGTATACTTACCATCGATCTACATGCGTATCCCACATATTTATCCGTCCTCTGATTGTTGTTTCGAGCATTTTTTCTTCGTGGCGATTTTCTTCTTCTTTTGCGCGAATATCATATTCCTTGTCCACTTTATATTTTTCTACCTCTTAAGTAACAATAAATTAAGGTTTACAATAAATAATTCGTAGCATAATATACACGAGAATATATCGAATTTGAAATTTGCCAGAATATGTCAAAGATTATAGATTTTCAAAGGAGCCATTAGATTGAATTTATGATGCAGCAGTCAAATTTTATAAATAATTTTATTTCATATTTTCTTCGTCGCGTCGCATCGAAATTTGTCTAACAACGCACAATATGCTAAGTTTGAGTGCATAAAAATGAGAAAATCAAGAAAACCAAAGAGATATCTAACAAGGATTGGCAATATATATCACGGAACGCATCGTCAATAATTAATGAACGTTGGTGTGCCTGCTATTCTATTCGTTTGCTGTGCATCGGAAGACGTAGCAACAAGGGCATTTGAAGTGTTCTGTTGTGCTGTCAAAAAGATTGATGCTGGGAGGTTCCAGGTTGTCCATTTCTATATATATATATATATATATATATACGAAGCTACCAACATCAATCTTTTATAATATTTTGAACTGACTATCGATCTTTATTATTTGCAGCCGTATATTGTTTCGTCAGAAGAAGTTAGACTATGATCTAACGAAAGCTTACAAATATACTTGCTATTTTGTGGAAACAGATTATGCTATACTTATTTATCTTTATAATACTATTTTGTTCATGCATCCTTGTGACAACTGACACATACGGAACCGAAGTAGAAAGCAAACAAGGAGAAAGGACTTGTAGTTCAGTACACAATACCCTAGTCTAGACATTGGTACACTCGAAAACAGATTTAGACAATAATCTGTCAAAACTTACGAATTACGAATACAAAAAATTGGTAGATAGGGATTAAAAATAACCTTACACATATCATCAAAATCAATTTTCATACAAAATGATGCCAGTTATGAATGAAAAACTAGACAAGCTTTCACATGAGATATATCGACCATCCGATACATAAAGGTTCAAAAGTCACATCGATTTAACAAATATTGCAACACGCCGAATGATTGAGAGTTCAAAGAGTTATTACTCTCTAATGAAGTCAACCTATGTCGCGCAAAACCAAAGACGAGTATTTTGATCGACTGTTTTGCTGGAATATGCTGGTATATAAAAACATTTGTCCAGTGAAACCACACCAATAACGATAAAGAGTTATGCAATATATTTGAATCGTTCTAATCCACAGTTGGAAGCGAGGCATGGCTAATGAGAATCGATACTCTGTTCTGCCTAAAATAAAATAAAATTAACAGAGCAATCTATTTTTGCCAGCTTGATTATTTGGTAGCAAAATCCAAGTTTAATTCTTTTTTACTGTATGCAGAACTGTACATTTAGTCAGACAAACACAACAGTTGTTCAACGATTTCCAACTAACTAAAGAATTTGGTTTTCGTAAAGACTGTTTCACTTTCTTCTAATGGTAATTGATTCCCTAATGTTAGATTTTTCAGTACACAGACTAATTAAATTTACAATACTGACATATCTACATAGTCAAAACGGCATTTCCCCTCAAAATATTGGAAAATGTAATAAATTGGGCAACGCCAAACAAGAAAGATTTCGGTTCATTCAAATAATAATAGCTTATTTAAATTGGAAATCAGTGGCCGCTTGTACAGGGTCTTGATTGAGCAAAACGCCCGCGTAAGCGTTATGTCAAAAAATCCTTCTCTTGACTAGGATTAAAGAACGGTTCGCTTCTGACGATATTGTTGCCATTTGCAATTAAAAGACACTTTGATTTGCCGCAATATCCAGGCGCGATTTGCCTTGAGTTTTATAAAACGACACTAATCTCATTCTAATGCCCAGCAGTGGTATTCAACAATGAAAATGTTGAACCTGGGGACGAACTTATATATCAGAAGTGTGTATTGGTTGTTGCTGGTGTGCTAGAACAGGGCTCATCTATTTTCACCAAAGATCTAATTACAAGACTTGAAATTACCAGGGCCAGTCATTTCAGAAAATCTGTTTTACTGTGCAAACAAAATTCCAGTTGTATTGTTCAACAGAATAGAAAAGCAATGCTCAAATATATAAACACGAATGTCGCGCATCGATTTAAAAAAGTGTTTTTGCAAGTAAAAATAAAACAGCAAAATTTTGGGTCAAGTATTCGGCTCCATAGTACTCGGATGAAATTTATAATAAAAGGGAAAGTTAACCCCTATCATTGACTTAAATCGTCTTTGGTTATTGAAAATTTGGAATCTATTAGTTGCTATTATTCAATCACGTGCCATTCAAATATACCGGTAGCAAACTGAACTAAAACTTCTCTCAGAATTATCATCCAGCCGTCCGATTCATATCTAAATTTTGAAAACACAATCAAAATCTTACAAATGGCACGCAAAACTTTGAAAACGTACCAATGTTTACCACCGTGCTTGAAAATATGTCTCGGTTAATTGACCTGCCCGTCGACATCTTGCTTATTAGCCAATGTTACGGAAGTAAACAAGTGAGTCTATGATATGAGAAACATACATTGTTTCGATTATTTCGTCCGTGATTCAGTAAAAAATTGAAAGCCTCTAAATCAGGGTGGTCCAAGGCTGTCGGTCGCGGGCCACATTATTATTTTTGTATTTTTTGCGGACCACAATAGCACCAATAATGGGTAAAAAGTTAAATACAAAACGAACACTTTTATTGCTTAAACGCATTGATCATTATTTGTCACTCATCAAACTAAAACACGCAAAAACCATGAAAAATCAAACTAAATCCACATTTAGTGAAAAATTTTGAACTCATTTTTCATAACGGAGAAAATGACTTTTTAGAATAGATCGTCCTCGACACAACTTGCACATTTTTCAAGCAAGCATTGTGGTAATTTCCTCCCATATCCAATTAAAAATATGATTGAATTGGTCAACTTTCTTTTCAAACTTATGTTTACAAAATAACTTACAAATAACTGCAGATTGATTGGTTACCAAATGTGAGGTACAGGAGGGTAATTACTAAAGTTTCTGACATATAGGCAGCATTTTTTGTAATACTGTTTAGGCACCCAGCAGGAATTATATTGTTCCGCTATGACATCAATATTTAGTTATCAGACATAGCCAACATAGGCTAATAGATTCCTTATTCGATTTTTAGTGTTCCATAAAGCCTATTTTGTTAGCATATATTCCCGACCAAAAAGATAGAAAGACACCAAATGCGAGTTTTTGTTTCACATCATCATATGTGGCGTTGTATTTGCAGTAGGGTAAACAAAAACTCGCATTTGATGTTGTTTCGTCACAGATGATGAAGCCGCGGGGCACATGTGGGCCTGGGTTTGGATCACCCTGCTCTAAATCGATGAGATAAAAAACGATGCTAATGCCGACGAAATCAACCGATGCGGTGCGAATTAAATTTTCGAAAGGTTTGGCAGTCGAGAAGCCCTGTGACAGAAGGCGTTTGTTTTGGGCAAGACATAGCAGAGGGAAATATCGAGTGGATTAATAGCGTTATTGCGTCACGTTGTTTTCATGGAAATGTATGATGCAGCTCTTTCTTTCTGTTTGAATATTTCGTTGACCTCCGACACTACAAAATCGAATCTGCGGACTCTTTGCAAGAATGAACTTCTGCGAACATAGATTTACGAAAATGGACTTTAGGAAGTATAGATTTTTGCCGCATTGTAAATTCAGGGGTATGTAATTTTGTTGCAAAGATTTTTAGATGACCTAGTGGAGTGAGGATTTGGTTTTAAACAAACGGTTTATTCAGTATCATTTCTAATTTTCCTTATCCCAGTCATTACAGCATTCATGAAACATCGTTTTTTTTGCAGATATGCAAACCGCATATAAAACATATATTTGTAAAAAAAATCATTTAGTTCTGGTTAGCTCTTCATATAGGCCTACATATAATCTGTTCGAATTAAATGCCGAATCTCTTTCACGTACCGTTGTCGATATAAATTCTATTACTATTTTAGTGATATTAGATTAGAAAATTTTTTAATTTTCAGAGTGAAAATATTGAACCCTACTATTGCTCAAATACAGATTTCACGAAATTATCTTACTGCACTCACCTTTTGACGAATTTCCACCCATTTTCAAGTTACTGGTATTGGTATGAAAACTGACTTATCGACACTGTACACATATTGCAGTTACATAAATTGCGAAGTAGAATTTCGGTTTTATTTATTTTACTGTTGTTTGCTGTTATGCAGATTTAAGATAAGAAACTATAATTGCGCCATATGTTGTGCATTGTGAAGGAGCACGCGCCAATTCAAATATACTTTTCTATAAAACCAGTTATTCATTAAGTTATGACATATACGACAGGACAAAGTCCGGAGGTCTGAACCACTAAGGCGGTACAAGCTGGTATCAACCTTGTACAGTAAATATTGATTTCTGATAATTAAGATGTATGACTAAGGAGAGCGCAGAATTACATCCAAGTTTTCTAGAATATTAGTTTAATAGTATATTTAGTACAATTAGGGATTCGACAAATCCTTATTTATGGGGACAATCGTATAATAAACAGCGTGGTGACCACTTCCGATGATCGGAGCATTTGAATATCATATTTTTGTTAAATTGTTTTGAGATATTTTAGACATATCAATTTCCTAACTTCACCTAAGAATAAGAAGAGCAATCTATGCGTACAAATAATGAAATTACCCACTGGTTAAAGCGCTGGGCTTGACTATATTAGCCAGATTTTGAAAAAAATATTTCCTATTGATAACCTAGCAGTGGCTGATTTTACAGAGCTTTATTTGGAGCGAAAAAGCATCTTATAAAAATCAATCTCATATACTTTTTTAGATTACTTTACATAATTAGGATATCTACTATTGGGTTTCTCAGTACCTTCCATTTATGATGGCCTCAGGTGCTTCATCTCAACCCGGCGGCACAAGTTCAAAGGTGAATCATATTTACTACTCTGGACTCTGAAAATTGATTATAGCAATATCTTTCTATCTGAAGTTTCACTCGCATAGTGTCAGAGAAAAAAATATTAATCAGCTGCTATGCTACACAGCCATATACTTGGGGCGGTAGATAGTGAATTCGTATGTAAATAAATAGCATTTGGGCATTTGTTTTGAATTCTGATTGAATAATGTTACTGTAGACTAAGCTTTCACATTCCGAAATAGGCTTGCACGTAATTGACAAAAATCAATTCCGTAATTACGGCCAAATCGATTACGTAATGACCCCGTAATTGCGATATTTTTTTTCACACTTTTAAACCTATCATAACAACCAATTTAATCCACATCTATTCCGAATGGGACATCGACAGTTGGGACAGTTTGGTTTTCATATTTCCGCCAGTACTACATGCCGGCGACAGATGCTAAAGACAAATATCAAGGAGTGAATTCAAATTAATTTTATTCTGATTTTTATCTTTTGTGTTAGCTTTAATTTTCCTTTATCAACTTTATCACCCAATTTTATGCGATCAATTTCATCATTACCAACACTGGTAAGTGGTAATATATTCATGAAACGATGGTTGACTTTTTTTAAATCGTATAAACGTATTAATACGAGTTTCGTCTTAAATAAAAATTCCGGGTTTCTAATTTATAAATCAACGACGAGCGTATTCTCTCGTTTGATTATACTTGCGCTTGCCTCGCGACGAAGACTTGTTATTGTACCGTTTTTTTACATTATCCGACTTTACTACCTAGTTAGCATTTTATAATAATTATTGATGCCGACTTATTGACGATATTCCGATTACCATGCTTCATTTTACATTAAATCATTTCGCGGCCTAAATGTTAACATTATTTGCGATAAATTTAGATCAAATATTAATTATTTGCGCATAATTTAACTCCGAAAATACAAAGGTATATCGCAAAACAATGCATTTTGTGACATTTATTTTGCAATCACGGAAATATTTATTTACTTTTCTAACTCAAGTCGACAATCCTATCGGCTAAGATTGACACAAGTTTGGTCGAGTGCCGGTGGTATTTGAGTCGACGATAAATCAAAATAAGTTGCCGCAAGACTTAAAGATTTTGTAAAGACATATTTGGCCGAAATAGTGCGAGGCATTGTGAAAACAAGGCCAAGTCCGGACAGATATATAACGATAAAACCGGTAACAGAACATCAAGATTTTGTAATAGAAAATGGATCTCGCGCAGAATAAACAAGGGAAATCCCGTCTTTTTGTTGTTTCTCTGCCGTCTGAATCGCTTTCCGATGCCGAAAAGACTAAGTTGCGTTGGTTCATTACGCAATTTCTCTTCCGTCGTCATATTTCTGTTTGATAAGCGCGACATTAATTATCACGGCATTTACAAATAGACCATGTTTGGTAAGTTGATCTCTTACATTCTTAAGTCATTTCACCCGAAGAAGTTGAAACCAGGTGTGTTGGCTTCCATCGGTCTCAACACAATTCTATCCCATATCTACGCTTAATATGTACATTTGCCATGCTAGATAAGTTGATAATAGGTTAGTAAATGGCAACGCGTTATGCCTTCTCCATCTGCGTAACAAAAGAGAGAAAAACGGCTGCGAATACCGGAACTCTAACTTCTTCTACTTATTAAACTTTAATTTTTTACAGTCGACGGAATTGACTGCTCTGAAGAGAGCTCGTTTCAATCGCGAAAGCGCTCCACCAATAATTACGAATTTACGTAATTCGTAACTTCGCTTCCGTAACTCGAAATAATTCCGTAATTCCGTAAATCCGTAAATTACGTGCAAGCCTATTCCGAAATATTTTAAGGTATATACATAATGCAATGTATAATAATATAATGTATGTATACTTACTTAAAAAGCTACGGAGGAAGGATTTGAAATATCATTGCGGGTCACACCCAGCTTATTACCCAAATTTTAGATTTACCAAGCATTTACAGTATTAGAAAAGGGAACGTAACGAAATCGTTTAAAAACACACTATAATAGCAAAAAACTCAACTATACCAGTATGTCATGAACAAGAGAGCAATGCTCAAATATATGGACACGCAGAACAATTCCCCAAAAATCATATGCGGTGACCAACGACTAACATACCGGCGGTGACTTACCAGTACCTGTATCGGGGTACCGTGACGGTACAGGGACTGTCATAGATATTTTAGGTCCTGTGACAATTGAAACATCAGTTGAAATATCTCGTGATATGAGTCAATTATGTACCGTATTATCGGATCAGGTACCGAACCACAGTCAAACATTTCACATAAAAACGTTACTAAATAACATGCGTCAACTTAACACCAGCCGAATCGGGGTACAATTTTTGGTACAGTGACTGTCATAGCCGTTTAGGGCTGATGGACAATTCGACTACACGGACAACTCACCAGGCCTAGGGTGGTGTAGCCAGTCTGCGGACAATTTCATTCAAACCGCTATAAAACAAAAACCAATATATCTAACCCGTTAATTTTTTCACCGTGGGTGCATTGGCGGCATTTATTCTACACGCTAAACCTCGTATTAACTTTCTACGACAAAGGGTTAAAGCTATACAAATCCCCAAAGTACGGCATTCGAAAGACGTATTTGCGACCAGTGTGCGACCACGGATTTCAAGCCTTGATCATCGTTTCTGCTGCGTCGAGACTATCGCATACGCAGCCATACAGCAATCAAACAGACAAAACACGGTGGTCGCAAATTGGTTGACAATTGTTGGTCTTGTGACAGCGTGAAAACATTGGGCTTCTAATTGCATTTCTGACCGTCATATATTTCAAGAACACGGTTATTTCGAACAAAACTCGTTAAATTATAAACAAAGCACCACATCACAGCAATCAAACAGACGAAAACACGGTGGCCGCAAATTGGTTGACAAAGATATTATCGACGTATCGGAAATGCACACCCCCTATTCCCCCTCCTTCAAATGTAGAAACGCGAAACTTTCAAATATGGTTAAAAGAAACACAACTCTACCCACCTGCCAAGTTTCATCTCTTTATTTCTCATATTTGTATGGATTTTCAAGCTTTTGACAGCTACGAGTTAGTTCAGTGTCACCGCGCTGTGTTACGGCACCAGAACTTCTCTACCTTTAGAAGGTCCTGTCTTGTGATAGCGTGAATTGAAATTGCAAGATGGTCCGTTGGACACAAAATGGCGTCCGATACCCGCAGAACATTTAGTGACGTCATAGCAAACAAAAACAAATCTTACAGAGCTAACAGAAATATTTGAAATAAATAAAAGTAATAGCCTTCTGGAGAAAAATTTCATCTTCAACCACTGAAAATTTCAAAGCAATTAGTCCAGTAATCAAAGAGAAAAGCGACTTTTTAAAAACGTGTCAAAGAACAAGAACAACAACATAATATTGAAACGATCGTTATGTCCACTACGTGTCCAATAACTCTAAATAAAGCGCTAGATAAACTGTCACTAAACGCGTGATACTATCAGAACCTTTCCCACTCGCCATTGCATGTGGATTGCCTTGATATAGTGTCACAGTTACTTGTAGGAGACGCGTTCTAACAATTGCAGGATATTTTGTACAAAGCTTCTATACCACTAATGCAAAAATGTGAAATTTGAGAAAAACACCCCCATCAAGTTTTTAAATAACAACTTAGTAATTATCCAATTGGATTTAGGTATGATTTGAATTCCCAGCGCAATCATCATTTCCTAACCCAAACTCTCACTGGACAAGTAGTAATTTTATTAATTTGACCGTTGGAGGGTGCTTTGTGCAGCAAAAGATTCGATTGCTGCTGACTCTATCTGAAAACGTCATACTTAAATAACATTACGATGACATATATTTGACATCTTATTGTGCTTAAGGCGGTAATATATCAAAATCAACGTTTGTTACATGCAGGGTCGAAACGATTCCTTGGGTATGAACAGGCGAAAACAAACAGACGAGCGAGATGACAATAGCTGTTCAAGACTGTTCAGTAATATCATCAGCGGCTTCAGGGGCTTCATATCAAGACCGCTAACAGGTATTAATATATAATTTGAGTTGGACTATAGTTTTTAGTAAGTACGAAACGGACTGATAATAATAATAAAATTGGTAGTGACAAAATCTAGCAATGTAGTGCTGGCATTTAAAAAAGTTTTATATTCAGATTTCATTGTAAAAGCAACATTGTTGTTAATAAAGTGCAGAATTCTTTCCCAAACCATATTAAAATTTGCTAAAGTCGAAATTCTGGACTACCGTAATTTTAGAATCAATATTGGATATCCTTATCCTAGGTCGTTTTGTCTGTCTGTGTGTTTAAATGTAGCGTCTAAATGGCTGGATCAATCTGAAACGGACCGATCGTAATGACAATTTTCACAATTTATCGCCGTTTTCTGGTCAACCAAGTCGAAAATTGATATTTCGAGAACGCTGCCTTTCGCACCAAATATTACTCTTTCTAACAAGCCAATACTCTTTCTAACAAGCTGTCTATTATCTCGATATCCCATGAACTGTGGAAGCCTTAGGAATTTTAGTGAACATTATTTTAATTATCAGCTACAGTACATGACTCAAGTAAGAATGTATACGAAACGCGCAGTTTCGATAACCCGTTCACTTAATCGCGCGGCCGTTACAGATTCGAGAGTTTCCATGGATGCAACCGGTTGCTTGAGTGTGTGCCTCAACTATCAACGGAGATCCTGGACGCCTACCGGCTTGTTTGAGATATATGTCGATGGAAGTACCCCAAGATGGTCTAGTTTAAACCATCACTTTTCATCCGACTAGGTGGGGTATGGGTACTGTATTTTAGTGTACGTATGAGTGGCCAATAGCGTTCGGCTTTACTCGGGATAATATCGTACAATATCTGCTGTCCCTAATACAGACGACCTCATTCCACAAAAGCAAAACTGAATCTGCGTATTGACGTGTTCCAGATGTTTTTTGGTCTTTCTAATTTTTTTTTTTTACAGACGGTGCCCCAGAAGACCCCACCATCCATATCGACACTTCAAGGACAGGCCAAGACGGTTATACATTTGAAGCTGAAAATAATAAAGGTCCAGAAATAGCCAAGGTGGATAAAGAATTTGAAAACAAACAAATTGCTATTAACACAGATCGGGAGAGAAGATTGGCGGCGATGAGGAAGAGATTAGCGAGAGAAGTAGACGCCAAGTGTTCGTAAGAATATTTTAGTATCTTTTGTACAAAGCCCCCACAAAAAAAAAACACCACCGCCATCGATCAAAATAAAAAAAAAGAATAATTATCCAATTATGGTGAGGGCTAGAAATGCAGATTGCGCTGGGAATTTAAATTTACAAATCATTTTTAACTCAGTGGTTCCTAACCACCGCGCATGTGCCGCGAAATGATTTTTGTGTGCCGCGAAGAGATTTAATTTTTGGGTTCATTTCAAGTGATTCCAATCCCTTGAATTCCGCGAGAGAATTCTTGCTCACAAACAGAAACAGTGGTATTTCAGGTATTTGGGTATTGTTTCAATTATAAGTTTTGCATAAAGCGCGCCAACAGCGTTTCGTAAAATTGAAAATGTCAAATAAGGTAACAAATTATTGTGCGAAATTTATCCCAAATTTACCAAGGAATTATTATTAGAATCACCATCATTGACGTTTTATTGAATTGTTATTCAAACTCAAAATAACATCCAGAATTCACGCAGTGACTTTGCAGGGTTTTTATTTACTATTCAATACGAAAATAAAACAGACACGATGGAAAAGTAAAATCATAAGGTCAACTATCGTCTTCATAAATATCCTCATTCCGGCGTTAGAAAAACGATACTTAGCTTAAAATTAGGACAGTTAATTTACAATCGGTGACGAGAAAGATCAAAACCGGCACAAAAAGATACAAATCAGAATAAAATCCCGATTTCATGCTTTAATAGCAGTCTTTAAATGTCGACAATATGAACGCATAGTTGTCCCAGTAATATAAAACCAAACGTTGCGCCAGAATTAGTCCTTAAAAAAAAGAGGACGGGCGGAAATAGTTCACCAACATTAGACCCTGATCATTCTGGATGCCCGTTGTATATGTATTAAAATGCCCGATATTCGACAATTCGTTAAAAATATTCCAATTATTCGATTCGACAAAATTATTCTATTTTGCCCACCCTTGCGATTTGTAATCGCCAGTAATCTGGCGAAACGCGTAGTAGCACAAACACTGATGCAATAAAACTTAATAATAAAACCTTCATTAAATTTAACAAAACGCACTTCTTCACGAAAGCGTAGTGGAATTGATGATTATTTCGTATCTCGAACACAAAAACGTGAATTTCCGGATAGTTTCTGGGGTCTGAAAAGTCGAATAAGCGTTTCGACATAGTAAATGCTATGATATTTGCCATAAATCATGCTCGGGTCTTGCACGAAATTCTTAACGTGAAAAGATTCGTCCGTCAGTGAAAATTGCTTATATCAACTTCAATCAACCTATTTAGTGTTTTTAGCGATAATAATTAATTGTCGTAATGAAATACAGTTTGTTGATCTTTTTCATTTCTTTCGCTAGTGCCGACAATTACAATATTGAAGGATTTGGCATTGGGAGAAACATATCAAATTGTAACAAAAAAGAATTAGGTTACCCGTGGGCCGCGCACCTTTTACAGTTGAAATTTCCGTAACTATTAACCATCCATTTTAAATACAGGCTATGTTGTAAAACCAGAATAAAATTTCCCTTATCTGACCTTCTTCGTTTTTTTTATTATTTTATAGCAAAATGGCTTTATGAGTAGGAAATGTTCAAATTTTGTGATAGGTGTGCCGCGAATATTTAAATAGCTCAACAGTGAGTTGCGACATAAATAAAAGGGGGCTCCCGAAGTATGCGAACCAAGATGGCGGACATCGGAATGTAATATGTGTACTAGGTTAGGGTTAGGCCATAATTTCAGGTATAAATACTACGGGAGGCTCTTGGCTAGTCTTCGAACTGATAATGGGACTAATATAAGGAAAATTGGAAAAAAATTATCGCCTAACCCTAACCTGTTACCCATGTTACGTTCCGATGTCCGCCATCTTGGTTCGCATACTTCGGGAGCACCAAAAAAAGGTTCGGAACTACTGCTCTAGATAACTACTTATTTGTTATTTCAAAAAACGATGGGGGTGTTTTTCTCAAATCACACATTTTTGCACTACTGGCGGGGGCTTTGTACGAAGGATCCATTTTTTTATAATTCAGACGAATTGTCTGTCCTTACCGACGCGGTTTTAACACGATGGTGAGATAACGTAACACAATACGATACACAATCACAAAAATGTTTCACGACATGATAATAGTAATAGTAATAGTAATAATAATACATTCTAGAGCGCGAACAAAATTCCGGGGACACTGTCGGGCCGTCCACAAAACCGAAAACATTTTTTCATTGCGTACGGGCCAGAAGAATGGGATTTTGGCAGCGGGTACCTGTCAATCAATTCGCACTCGAATGGTTTTGTGGTTTAGTTTAGAGAACGTTCAGCGTCTTTTCCGCGATGGGAAAGCGTTTGTCCTATCGCTGGAAACTTTTTCGAGTAATTTTGGCGGTGAGTGCCGTAATACTGGATTGCCATAGTTGAACAACCCTTCTGATTTCAAAGCTAACAGAGTCAAGTCGTTTTGCATGTTTTTTGTATATGTAGTCCTATCTAGTGGACGCTGAACATAAATTTTCATGAATTCAATAATTTTCATTGAATTGTATTCCAATGGGATGGGACAGGCATAAATTGCTATGAAATGGGAAAGAAAAATATGCCCCATAAGCAAATCAGATTAATACACCCGTATATCGCGTTGGAAAACTGTGTCCTAATCCTTTTTCAAGTGCGCCTTGGGAGAAAAGGTTTGGAAACAACTGATTTATAATTTCTTCTTATTTAGCATTGAGCGATTTTCTCACATTCACTCCGAATAATGCTCCAAACAAGCTGCCGCTAATCACTTCACGAGTCACTTACGCCAGCGATCTCTCTCATCGACATCGTTACGATGAGAAACGAGAGAAATAGCTTGCAAAACTTCAGATTATTGTCTGCGCGTTTTAGACGACCATTCGTATACTGTACTTTGGAGGGACTTATTACGTCACTGTGTCTTCGCAGTAACGTAATTTCCTGATGACGGACGTGTACTTCAGGAGACCCCAATTTTTTATGCAAGTTCGTACGAAGAAGAGCGGCAAAAAAGAATTGCATGCTACAAATTGCGCGCTAACTAAGGTCAATTTCAAGCCATTTATTTATTTACAGAAATAGGGATTTAGAATATATATGATTTTATCTATATGTTACAGGAACAATAATACAGAAGACAACAATCACGAGGTACTTCCTAAAAAGCTCTATCTGTAAGTATTATTCTAAATTAGAATTTACAATAGCACACACAGCCATTATTGATTCTCGAGACAATAAACAACAGTTAAAAGGCGGTAAAGGGAGGGGAGGTTGTCTTTTAATTATCAAGAACAAAATTACAAAGTAGAGAATTACGAGATTTTCAAATATACAAAATATGAAAACCTATATCCATTTACTTACATGTTTTTATTTAAAATAACTGCCTTGACATAGATTATTATTTAGTCCAAACGAGTAGGAAAGATTTCTAGCTATCGATTAGGTAAGAAGGTTTTGCCCCATCGACTAGGTCCTATTTTTATTTTATTTTGACGGATAGTTCGAAATTTTCTGTTTACATGAGTATAGGATTTTTATATTTATCCCGGGGGAGAAGAAAGCCGATAATATGGCTTAATCGTATGGCGAACCAACACACTTAGCACGATGAGCCACACCACCGAGCTTTGAATAAGATTACTTAAGTTCCAGTCTAGTCACTGGCTCGAGCCTCACATACGCTGATTTCGTGCATGGTTTCCCTCCGAACAAGGCCGTTTATGAGCAAACAGTGCCCTTGGAGAAATTGGGTGACATATTTGCGAATATTTATGTACGTTATCTTCTAGGTGCATGGAAACAAAGTATGTCGGACTGTGTATAATTATAAACAACAATACAAAGTATTCACGTGCAGCAGGTCAGTCGCTTTGTTGTTGTTGCATTAATCATAAGACAACAAAGTTATGTGCGCGCTGCGCAAAATTATAAACATTCAAAATAGGCAATGCAAAAAGATCTCAAACAAAATTATGTGCCAAAAATTAAAATAAATTTATATGGAGCGGATCCCATTCTGAGAAAAAATATTCGATTTTTTACAGCGCGTGATCAATATTTACATACAACGGAAACACTACTTTACTCAGAACTACTTTTGCGCCAGCAAAATTAAGCATAGTACTCATAAGTAAATGGGAATACTTATTATATTATTCATTTGTCCTGCATGAGAATGGTTGAACGTTAAAAAACTAGTGGTTTGCGAATAAGGTGTCATGCATAAGCAACTCTTAAGTTGTACTTGATTTGTTCATCTTTCATTAGGTACCACTCCATTTTTGTTTGCATCGATTAAAATATTAATTTCAACTCGTTTAGGATATCTTCATGAGTTCTTCTCTGCCGAAGGTTACGAAGTGAAGTTTCACCAATATTTGAAAAAGAAAGAAATAGAGTCGATTTTCGATTCCGCGAAGTCGAAGAATTTCAATGATCATGGATGTTTTGTTTGTTTTGTTCTTTCTACAGGTCAGTTGCGTTTCTAATATATTTATTGTACATAGAAGTCTCGTTTAAACTTCCTTCTGTACGTATTTGTGTTAACATAACAATGCCCCAACTATGATTGATGCACCACCCGTACCATGTGTAGAGCCCGCACACTATGTCCCATTTGTAGGCTACTGCTTGTAACCATAGCTTTAACCCGTGTACAAAGTTGAAGGAAAGTGCAATCCGATAACGACAATAGTTCTAAAAACAAATCCAACTCCCGGACTGTATTTGAAAAAAAAAACTGTCCACGCATGTTAAAAGCAATTTTAAAAATAAAACCATTGTCGTTTGGAAATTTTCAGGCTTGTCTATTGGACATATATTTCTGACCCATCCCATAGCAATTAATGCCTACCCCATCCCGTGGTATTTGGAATACAATTCAATGAGAAAAATATTGAATTTATAAAAATTTCGGTTTAGTGTCTACTAACATGTACAAAGAGACATGCAAATCGATAAAATTTATTGGCTGACTGTTAACTTCAGAATAATTTTTCAACTATGACAATTCATTCACTATGACAATGCACAAACCACGCTGGTAAAGACATAATGTTAATTAGGCTGACGCATAAAACGTGATTTTACATAAAATTGTACCAATTATTTTACGTGATCCGCTTGTCTCGACTGCTCCAAGAGTCCACTTGCCTCAATGTGTGCTGTCTTATCTCATCCCATAGACAAGCCTGGGATTTTTTTACTTGTTTTCTTTTAATATTTGGAGCTCTAACTACATAGAATCAAACACTTCAACTCTGGACAAGTCAAAAATGCGATCCCCGTTCCGCAATCAGTTGAGGATGCTTGAACTATGAAAATCTGAGTTTACTGCTCTGTCTCAAATCACGCTCCAACTTTAGAAAAAAACAACATGACGTTTTTCTTATATTACACACTTCAGGGAACCATAGACTCATTAAAACTGCAGACAACTCGTCTATTTCAATGGATAAAATAGTGGGATACTTCCATCCCAAAAACTCTCCTACTCTTGACGGAAAACCAAAAGTATTTTTCTTCCAGGTGAGTAGTAGGGGATTCGAACACATCGTGATGAACTCAATTTTATTTAAGTTTCCATACACATGAATCAAATACAGTTAGAAGTATCTTAGCGATACGAAAAAAATCTAATTTGTATTGCAAAATACTAATGTGTGGTGTTAAAACAATCTAATGTGCTGTATCACAATCTACCGGAATGATAAACATTTGATGCATTAAATTTGAAAATATTTTAGCATTGGGCAGGGTCAAAAGTTGTCATTTCTTTAGAACGGAATAGATATCGTGAACGCTAGGAATTTGTGGAATGATGACGAGCGTACACCATTCCCAACTTATGTCGATGCAGTTGTCGTGCGATCAACTCTGAGAGATTTTATCGACAGATTCATCACAATATTAGCCGCGCATCCACGGTAAGTTGAGAGAAAGGAAATTTCCTGAGGCAAAATTAATAGTATTTTAAAGTTATGTTTAAATTATCGAAATTTAGATAATTTGCCACAATCGCTTGCAACATACTATTTTCTTACAAATTTGTCCTACATCTGTTGTAATGAATGCCTCATTAAGGCTTACTTTGCCATCATTTTTTCAGTTTCAGCTTAACAGACCAAATGAGACTTTTATAAGTCTGAAATTCCGATTTCCGTTTGATCCGAATCAGACTCAGCTTTTCACTCTCGCCTCTGCAGAATTTTGAATTATGAAATCTGCTCCTACTTTTATAACAGCAAAAAGTAAAATCTTTTACCCCAATGGACGTTTCCCCAATCCCCGAAAGACTCTCTCTATACTTCATCATTGAAAAATTTGCAACGCTTATTTCAAGAGTGTTTTGCAGAGTGGTCCATACAAACACTTGATCGATGCAATATTAACCCGATTTTATTTGTTACAGAGAATCGCTCTCTACCATCATGACCTTGCTACAATCCGAAACCCTTTTGTCATTCACCTGTAATGAGCAATACCAAGTTATACGGGATATGACAAAAGAGGTAAGAACTTCTGATGTCGTGATTGTTTGAGCATGGTTGCTGCTATCGGGTTGATACCTACCTATTATAAAAAACCCGCGCGAATATTTAGTTCTGATATGATTTCATGCTATATCTACCCTACTACTCACTATGATATATGTAATTAAGATTCGGTGGTGTTTTTAGTGTAAGGAATAGCTGCAAAACCATGAGAAAGCAACTAGAGCACGCAAGGATAGATATTGCGGGAAAATATTGATAAGGTTATTTATGGTCCCATCATTGAATTATTCTGAAATATTATTGAACAAACCACAACAATGAATAGTTGATAGAATTATCTTCTGTAATGATTCGAATCCCGTTTCAGCTCTTTCGTAACTCATTCATTTTACCCCTAAAGTTCCTGTTTGAACCTGGTTTTAATGTGCGACAAGTGCGGAAAGACAGTGACGTTTTATTGATTAGGAAAAATATACGGTAGCTCTTCTCAGCATATTGTACCCAAGTTAGTTATTGAGCGCAGCAGGAATGTCTGATATTACACGTATTTAGGCAACGCTATTTATGAGGCAATATAACATAATCTAGTGAACCGGTTCTCAACCAGTGGGTTATTGCCCACTTCTGGGGCATAGAAATTTTTTCAGGTGGGCCACGAACCAATAAAAAGTAAATGATTCTGTTTTTGCTACTGAGTGGCAATTCTCATTGTAATCGTTAAAGTGGGTATCTTTACAAAAAGATTTTTTTTTTGCATGATTAAATTAATGAACAACCGAATTTTTTGATCAACAAAAGTGGGCCACGAAAGTAAAAAGGTTAAGAACCACTGAATTCTAGCGTCATTGAAAACTAATGCACTCTCAAACTTTTAAGGTTTACTTCACTATAGAAAAATCTACGGCTGGGACTTCGAACCCTCAAACAACGGCTCATATTCACGCACCTACGGAAAAGAAATTGAACGCTATGATGAAAGGTATTTTATTGATTGCGATATAAATTTGAAACCCAATTATCCCAGAACGAATAAAACCTGCGAACTGGCCTAGTTATTTGACGCTAGTCTACTCATTCAGTTGGTTGTCCGCTGGAGCTAGGCTCCAGCTCCGGATCCATAACCATAGAGGTTTCTAAGTGTACCCACAACCACAACCATGAAATATCTGCCCAAATGCAGATCAGGCTTCACCAAAAATGTCACAGCTCCATGGCTCCAATCTCCGACCCCCCAGCCATAACCGTAACTAAATACTGCCATATTATCAAATACAAACTTTCACCGTCCTAAGACCTAAACGAACCCAAAATACCATTTCATTATTACATAAACTTTTATACGCCCCAGCCAACGCTCAACTTTCTCTTTAAATTCTTATTTGAAAACGTCTAGCTAACTAAACAGCATGGGGTCAACAGAATATAGAGGGAAATCCCTAATTCAAAAAAACATGGCAACTAATTGTCTTGTAGCGCCATCTCGTGGCTATGATGCTCTCGTATAAAATCGTTTACTTGTGTTGTGGGAACTTTGATTCATGAATTTTGATTAATACAGCTATTGCAAGGTAGCTGCTGACAAGTCGACCGAATGAATAGTCATTTCGCGGTTATCCTGTCCATTCTGGACAAAAGCATGGATATGTATATATATTCAATTTTGGTGTGCTCGTTTGCCTGGATGGCTAATTAAAACGATTTGATTGATTGATTAACCAAAGCATCCCTCAAAATTGATCATTGAACATGCTAATAGTTTTAATAACAAAAGCAATACAGGTATTGAGCATAAAGTCACGCGTGCTACGAATTTTACCCCATATCTCATTTTCAAATACAAATTTTGCCTGTTTTACTAACCTAACCCCAAACACTATACCTAATTGTTAAATAGAAATTTTATCCGTTCCAACCCACTCTAACTCAAAACATCGTACTTTACTATTAAATAACAAATTTCTTCACCCTGCTAACCTCAAATTAAATCTTCTTAATCACTCTAAAAACCAAGCCTTCGGATGATATATATAGCGAATGCAGCACCAAATGTTTATTCGCCTGTGCAAAGAGGAGCGGGCAATACAACGGAGTCGATAGAAGGTATTTAATGCTCCGCGATAAGGTGAGGGGGGCTGTGTTTACATATTGTTTTGCAACAATAACCTTTCGATGACGATAGAATATAATTCTTCTAAATATTAGAATGTCATTCTAGTATTTGAATATCTAGTACCACGTGACCTTGGTCGCTTTGCTTGGACACGAAACTAAACCGATCATAAGAATTTCGCGCGAAGTAGACCCCAGCTCGTGCTAACAAACAGAAACGACAAATTTGAGCAGTCGTATTTGGGTACCATTTGGAATAATTTTACATGTATTACGATCAAGAAATTTAGCGATTCCAAGACATCATATATATGTAGAATTACTTCCGTTTGGACCAAGGATCCCCTATTTATAGCCTATAAAAAGGCGCAGGCTTCCGGCAAAACCGGGTACTCTCAATTGGCTGTCTAAATGGGGTGTGGCTTTACCTCATTCTAAAATATTCTACAGCAGGAACCTCGAGTGATATTTATATGACCTAGCCGCCTACCTGTTATTATATATGAATTTTGATTTAGTCAACCAAAAAAACCGGCTTCATTGTTTAATATAAATCCTCAACCAATCTACTAAATATTTTATCCCAAAATACGGAAATGATTCACACGATGAACCATGTCCTCTTATTCGCTGCCAATTCGTGTCGGGTGTGATAGAATATATTTCTTGACATAATTCATATTAGAATCAAACAGTACAATTATAGGTTGGCCATATTATTGTTCAACAGTGTTCTACCTTTAGCAAGTTTTCTGTAGGCTGAGATTTACAAATGAGTTTTGAAATGCAACTCTACTGCAGGGGTGTGCAAACTGCGGCCCACAAAGAAAAATTGTGCGCCCCGCGGTGAATTGCCAATTTTGAATGATGTGCCCGCGAAACGAGTTACCGTATTAAAGTTGGTTAATCTGATAGCTGCAAGCAATTTTAATCTCTTTGCGTCGCGAAGCCCATCCCAGTACCCGAGTGCCACTGTTATATTAGCATAACTAGCTAGTAAAATCTTGCTGGAAAATACGCAATGTCATAAAAGCGTGTTTCGCACTGGATTCGTTAAAAGTCGGTGCGGCCCGAGATTTCTCCCATTTACTTGTATCTGGCACTCTTGTACTATAGATTGCACACCCCTGCTCTACATTATTTTTAAATTTTTACTTCACTGTACAAAATTCTAAAGCAGGACCCTCGAGTGATAATTCGAATACAACGCCAGATGTTGACGCGCATATGCAAGAAGAAGGATCGAGTGATAGGACGAAACCGAAGGAAGGTATATAAATGTTCTCAATATTAAGTCGAACGTTGGCGTGAAATATGTTGAGTTTAAACACGGACTATACGCGTTCTAACCGCCTACATGTTATAAAATACGAATTTTATTCTAACCCAAAATACCCCCTTAATGTCAGATATAGATCTTCAACTATTCTTCTGAATGTACAAATCACTGGAAATAGCCTAATCTCATGACAAACCATGTCTCATTTGCTCACCTGTCTGTGTCAGGTGTGATAGAATATATTTCTTGACATATAATTCATATTGGAATCAACACGACAATTATTTATAGGTTGTCAATATGATGCTGCCGTAGTATGTGCAGCAGGATGGCGCACAACCTGGACATAGTATGTGTACCAGTTTAGAGTTATCCGGTTGTGCGCCATCTTGGTGCACATACTACGGGAGCGCCGTCAATACTATTGTACCTCAGTGTTCTATCTTCAGCAAATTGTCTGTAGGCCGAGATTCACAAATGAGTTTGTCAAATATAACTCTGCGGCATTTTCAAACTTCCACCTCACTACGAAAATATTAAAGACAGAATGTCCTCATCATATTAAGAACCAAGCCCCATTATTGGATTGTCAGTCGAGTTGTCTATAATAGTTTATATATTTCATAAAATATGATTTATATTGGAATGGAACTCACGGATAAGATAATATGCTAGAACTGATTTTATCTCTCAACTTCCGTTTAATTCTATTCCACTTTTTTCTGTTCTCTACTTTAATTCGAATGTAGAAAGAGGACAGAGTTTTACTCTATAAGTGGCTACATGAAACCCGTAAAAACTACAAACGTGCTAACATCGCCCCAAATAACCACATTCCATTACAAAAACTTCAAATTTTACCCGTTCTAATAATCTAACTGAAATCATGCATATCGCATTATTCAGCCAAAAATTCATCCATCCTAACCTAAGGCGTCTTTTTAAAATATTATTTCATAATCTCACGCAGCGAAAAATGAAAGGGTTGACCTTTCCTAAAATAAATAAAAATTTCTTACCTTCCATAGAAGACATCAATTTTTATTTTCCACAAATTATACTCGTGGGCTGGCACGCCTTCTCACAGCCGCACAGCAACATGTTGCATACCTTACTTCTCGCCACGTAACATTCTTTGCTCATAGATAAAATTGCTGTTCTTATATCGTTAAACATTCGTCTCATTATGAATCAACTTGTCTTAATTAATACCCTCCCTAACCGGTCGCCCATGGGCCATTTTACATGGGTTATTTTTTTGTCAACCATCAAGCCCTAAAACTTCACTCACGGCTTTTTGATAGCGTGTGCTAGACTCGCTAGAGTTCTATTCAGAAATATATGTTTAAAACTCACTCCTCAAAAAATATTTTTTCTATACGCCAGCCAAAATTCCAAATTTCCATTGAACTTGCGAGATTTTTGTGTCTAGTAGAGGGTTAATAATTATTCCTAATTAATTAATTTCAACGTTTTCTTGTGTTATTTTCCAACAGAACAACACCAAAACCACTATTATAGCAAGAATGGTAACTCTAAAATTGACGATTGTATTTACAAAATGTTCAAGGTGAAGGCTTCAATTGACAATTTTGATGACGTCACACCTCTAATTATTACTGCACAGGCCCCCCTCAATGCAAAAATGTTACTTTTTCCGACGAAAATGCGCGTAGAAAGACGTAAACACTGCGCGCCGTTACGAGTGAAAATTACCATTAATTTTACGTTTTTTTCACGTTTAAAAAATCTCGATACCTGTGCTAAGTATGGTGCAGTCGAAATCATATTTTTCAAAACATCACAGGGCAAGGGATGGAATGTATGACTAAAAGTACATGATAAACCAATACTAAGCCATTATAGGGGAGTTTATTGTAGTTCATCACATATCTGGAGGACGAATTTCAAATCGATGCTATTTATAGAACTGGCATTTATAGCGAAGATGAAGTCCCTTTTTCGTGAAATATATTATTCCGCTATAGAACATTAACCGTAAAACACCATAAATACCTTTTATAGTTGGACTAGGCATTAATAATAATACATATATGCCAACCGGCTGTGTTGGGTTTTAATCTAACTCTCCACCATCTCATTATCAAGTACACATTTTACTCGGACTAACGTAGCCTAAAACATCTGGCCTCATTACCAGCCAAAACTTCAGCTTTTTATCAAGCACAAACTCTACTAGTACTTCTAACCTAGCGCCAAATACACCACACACTATTCTAATATCAAAATTGCACTCGATACACCTTACACTGAAACGCCCTACCCCATTATTAACAAACAAATTTGCACGCTCTAGGTACATTACTTAAAACGCAAGACCTCAAATCCATCCCATTCGAATTCAAAATATCCCACCACTGCCTCCTATGAAAATAAACTTTTTCACGTCCAGGCCTTAACAAATACATATTTTAAATTTTGTAATATAACCCAAAATACCCCGCCCCTCCTCAACCCCATTTTCACGCACAAATTGCACCATTAAAATAAATCTTTTACAAATTTTACTCGTTTAACTAACCCATCTAAAAATATATGATTTCATAATCCCACGTATTTGAACAATGACCGCCACCTCCTTTTGCCCATCCTAATACCCTGACTATTTATCTCTGTACACCCACCTAGGCTAAAACGCTTGTTCCGTAAACGGTACTTCCGTATAGTGTGAGCCGAGTTAGAGTTAGGCCCTAATTTCATTCTGATTTCTTTACCTTAGCTCTATTACGAGTTCGGGGACTGTCTGTGTTAGCCAATCAAATATAAACCTTGTCAGTAGGCTTCCGTCCCTATTACACACAACTTGATGGAAGTAGACGAACAAAATTAGCATCCAAAATTACCTCCACATTGGTATACACACTTCTGGAGCGCACCGTACACACCGCCTGACAGTAGGAAAGACGCACACGCAGGGTTAATCAAGTACAAAAGCCCCACGATTTGAAACTGTGGATACAAAGTGGATTTGCACAGTTAGCAATATACTGATTTAGAGCCATGGTGATTCACACTAAGCATGATGAAGAATTTAAAAGTAAGAAATCGAAATCCAAATGTTAAACCTGTAAGCAATAGGCTATTATTGCACACTAAATATTGTATTTCATCTGATTTTAATATATACTAGAATTTACATAAAAATCCAAAACGCTAAACAAAAATTCTGACGCCAAACGTGTTTCGAAAAAATCAAAACTGTCAATATGGCAACACTGCACATGAGTTTCTTTTTGTCCCACGACCTCAATATCGAGCATGCTGTAATCATGCAATACGTCACAATGTATCTCATTTCTACTCCTATGACATCATATATCGCAGCGAACGTTATTTATCCCCTCGCGTTTCTTTTGTTTCTGTTTTCTTTTTAAACCGTCGCCTCTGTTTCTTTTCTTGCGGATTAAAATTGCATCTATTTACGTAGCCATTGGCGAATGTTCCATCTATCTTTCGGAAAGTCAGTGCCTTCTTATTTATTACCTCGATTAGATGCTATGCCACGCTAGATTACAGGAATTCTTTCTCCATAACCCCTTATCGTGTTATTAAGTGCACCAAGTTAAAATATCCTTCATTGCGAATGTTCTTATCGGGTTCTTTCGGAAAGTCAGTAATCTCTTATATAGTACCTCGATCAGATTTTATGCCACGCTAAATTATCCTCATCGTTGTGCGTTATCAGGTTCAATGCGACAAGTTAAAGTGCCTATCGAAGTACTTCTACATTACTTATTGTATAAAGTATAAGTACCCAATGGCTAGATTTAGTTATTTGATAATTAGCTCGCAACCGACATTGCAAGCCCTTGCTATCCCACGGTTGGCATTTCCAACGAACCCTATTCGCATCCTAATATGAATGATTGCAACACTAACTGGAGTAAAAGTGCCGATAGTTATTCATACCGGTTTTTCTTTTCAGGCGAAGTACTTGTGACGGGAAAAAGTTCTCATCCAGTGTAATCAAATATTGACTTAATTTATTTTTTGAAAAAACGTGATGGAATATGAATTATTTAATCGACTTTGTAAAATAAAATACCTTGCGACATATATATAACTGTGTGAATAGTCGTTGCAATTAATTATTTTTGATGCCGCCAACTCTATTTTTTTATTTCGATAATCCTGAAAGTTTGATTAAGTTGAAAGTCCCGGCAACAACTTATCCTCTTGATATGGATCTGTCTTTGCTATAAAATTGCAATTAGTTAACGTGTGAATCTGAAATTAATAAAGTCAATTATACTAGTGAACAGCGCATAAAAATACAATTTATTACGCATAAATAGGTAATCCAGTTTTTATTAGTAATAATATACTTTGTTGGCTTTGCTTGTATATCACCTGATTTGATGCTAAGTAGTGTTATGATTATCGTGTTTCATTCTCTTTATAATGGTAGTATTGGCAACTATGGTAGCATTGCTTGTATTGATTTGTCTATAATATTTTTAGAATATGGAGTTAGAGTTTGTCAAATATACGTGTGTTGCATATTTATAACTGCTCCACGCAATGTAAATTTACTCTTATCAATAATAATCACTAAAGAAAAGCACCAGTATATTTGTTTACTTAGATAATTTATTTTGCAATCTAGTCTTAAATTTATATATTTATACATCGTGCTGCGCGTTGTGTAATAATAGAAATTACCCATTATAAAAGAAAGAGAAAGACCGTTTTTTGAAGCATTATCCCAGAAATGAGAGAGTCTCTCTTGATTTCTTTTTGCTTTGCCCGAATAATATTTCATTGATGCATTAATAAAAAAAAATGTAAAAATGTCTTTTTGTATAACACTTTCGAAAAAGATATAAAGAGAAAATAGAATAAGCTAATAGGCAGGCCTGGATGTAAATTTACTCTTGCCAATGATAATCACTAAAGAAAAGGACCAGTATATTTGTTTATTTAGATACAATATATTTAGATATATATATATATATATTGTCTTACGCATT